GGAAGCGATAGACCACACGTCGACAGTGCTTGGAGACGAACCCTGAGCTGAAATAGTCTCAGGATGATTCCTGTCGTTTGGGGCGACAGATCGTCGTGTTATGTCCATCGTCGAAGTAACGGGTGGGCATGAGGCGGCTGCCTTGATCGCTTGTTGGTAGGAGGCTGTCGAAAGGTATGTGGTGCCTCTATGACGATAAGGGATAGAAAAAGAATGAAAGAGCAACTAGATGTTGCAGGACCCGTGATATTTATCGCACAGAACCTGCGATCTTTTCTTTAGACATGCTCGTGCTGTGTGCAAGAGGCTGTAGCTCAAACAGCCGATGATGAAGTGCTCGTTAGGCAGTGATTCTCGCAGGCCGGAGAACAGCGTCTTCGATGGATGCAAGGTGGATGTGGTTACCTTGGTATGAATAGTCTCTATATTTATCAGTCAGTTCAATACTGCATATCGGGTGCTAAAATCTCACGTCAGCACAAGGATGCAATGCAAGATAACTATGTATCGCTCCTCAGCCTGATTTTGATATCTGAACAAGCCGGAACTCAACTTAATGCGGAGGGAATGTCAACCGATCGGGGGAGGATCTTCCCGCTCCTTCAGGGGGCTCCACTGTGTAATCCTGAGGACCAACAGGGTTTCTCGTCCTCGAATGCACCTGAACCTCAAATGGAGGACGACGGAGAGCCTGCTGCATCCCGCCACACGATATGCAGTTCTTCGGACTGACGAAGAGAAGAACATAACGTAAAGTGACTACAAAACACTCGAGGAAATGTTTGTGGTTGCGTTATCGCGGCCATCACAAGATAATCTTCAGCACCTTCAATCTTGGCTAAGAAAATGCAGCTAAGCCACAGCAGGGGCCAAGAGACATTTTGGGGTATCAGACCTTACTACGTAATGTTCAAGGGACCAGCGAGCAAATATACGATCCTCAACGCGGGTCTCAAGCTGGCTAAGATCTGTCAGAGCCGGCATGATTAAACTCCAAGGTAATCCTCTCATTGCGGTGGAGATGTGTGCTAGACTGAACCTCGGGCCTAGCGCCGTGGTGCATTAGGTATTTGCGGACTGGGATATGCCCTGAACCAAGATGCCCATCGAAATTGCCAGCCATGTGCGCTGCCCTGACACTTGGGTTGGAATTTGCAGGCTGCCGAGACCCATTAAACTGACTTAGGCTCTGGAGAGCTTTCTCAAGGTTGGACGCCCCAGCATGAGACGCGACTGCAGACTAAGATCAGCTTTCCTAGTTGAGTCTCATGCATAGATTTTAGACTGACTGCTTCCCGGGCTCGTTCACTCATCCACCTCTCAGCGAGTTCTGATGTGTGAGTTGGTGTGATGGAAGAGGATCAATTTGGGCAAAGGTGAGTTCTTCAGCGAAACCGAAGCCTACGCGGATTCCGCGCGCCTCCTTCTGCCGTTTTCCCGTAGCCCCCGCAGGCTAACACCTCACCTTCTTATTTGAGTTGCGCCGCGTCAACGTCAACGTTCAAGGGCGAACTCAATTACGAGAAAACACGCAACCGTTGACTCTTCGGTCAAAAGGCTTGGCGCTTATAACGCTGTCACAAGCTTCAAAGCTTACATCAACGTCAAAATCCAGTTCACTGATCCGTTCACTCACTTACCAGAGCCGTGATGCAACTCCCGCCGCACCACCTGTACTCCTTAGAGCTCACGCCGCGCTTCGATGCCGACGGCGCGAGCAGCTTATCGGTGCTGCTCCGGCTGCAATTGCCGGTCACAAAGGCCCACGAGCCTGTGTTTGTGTTCAACACCTTCTACGGCAACGTTCCCGGGCATCCGTATCAAGAAAAAGACATCAACGCAACAGACGACGCCGGCCCCCTAGAGCTCCAATTCCACGACCTCCCTTCAGAGGGCCGGGACAAGAAACAGCACTGGTCCTTCACCAGAGAACCCCGGGGCGACATCCTTCTCCGCTTCGATGTCTTCCCCCGGAAAGTAGACATCAAGACCCCGCTCGGCGCCCGCATCGACCTCCGCCGCGACCAGGGCGGCCTGCACGGCGCCGGCATGTGGTTTCTGCCGCAGCTCATCAATGATCAGCTCTTCACCGTCCTAGTCAAGTGGAATATCCCGGCCGACGCGCCGGCCTCTACGCGATGCGTGTGGAGCTACGGGGAGGGAACCAAGCCCATGGTCCGCGTCGATCGCTCCGAAGTCGTTCGGAACACCATTTTCATGGTCGGGCCCGTTCAGAGCTCTTCCGGAGCGTCGTCGTCTGCATGTTACTGGTTCGGTGACCTTCCGTCAAACCTCGACCGAGTGAAGGGATACAACACCGCCCTGTTCCCGAAGATGGCGGAGTTCTTTGGGTCGTCTGGTGGAACGTATCGCATGTTTCTGCGGAAATCCATCGTCGGCTTTGGTGGTACCGGCTTCGATGCAAGTTACATGCTGGAATACGATGACAGGAGTAGCGACGTCGAAGATGACCGCCTCATCCAATTGTTTACGCATGAAATGGTGCACAGCTTTGCCACGATTGATTCAGGCGAGGCAAATGAGAATGACTGGTTTGAAGAAGGTACTGATCTCTGATATAAAGCCCATCGTCTGGCATTTAGAAACTGACACTACGCAGGACTTGCAGAGTTGTATTCGTCATATCTGCCCTATCGCCTCGGCTTCCGTGGGAAAGACTTCTTGATCAGCACCATCAACGATCATCTCCAAGGCTACTTCACCAGCCCTCGCATTAACATGGACATACGCGATGCGGCCGCGGCCATGTTCAACGACTGGTACGCAGAGTGGATTTCCTACAAGCGCGGCTTCGCGTACCTCCTTTTCATGGATCTCTATCTGCGCCGACACACCCGCTCGTACGACTTTACCACGGCAGGGCCCCTCGACTCCATCATTCTCGACTTGACAACAAGGCACAAGCAAGGAGAGGCTGTGGGCGCCCGTGACTGGCTTGCCGCCCTAAAGACGTCTCTTGTGGGCGACGAGTTCCCAATCGAGGAGCATTACCAAGACATGCTCCGGGGAAGGGCGGTCATGAACTTTGATGGCCTTTTCTTGGGCGAGCCATCCAAGACACTGACGGCAGCTCAGCTTCCTATCATGGAATTCGGGTTTGATAAACGAAGTACGAACTCTCGCGTTGTCACGGGGCTTATTCCGGGCTCAACTGCGGATAAGGCAGGCTTGTGGGAAGGAGCTCAGATTGTGAGCGTGTCTCGAGCCAGTGATTGCATTGATGATATCCAGAAGACCTACAAAGTGGTTGTTCAAGACGGCAGGGGCACTCGTTTGATAGAGTATGTGCCCCGGGCGAAGAAGACTGCCCTCGCCTGGCAATTGGAGGAAAGCGGTTGAAGTATTTGGAGGAACTGGGTTGCTTCTGCTATCTAATTGTAGACTAAGGTACATGTAATGAGAACGAAATGAAACAGGAAGAAAAGTAGGGTATGCCGTTCTGGTGTTACATGTACTGGTGCTGTGTATCAAAAGGAGAGAAAGGAGGATAAGAAAGCGGGTAGAGGGGGGAGGAGGGGAGACGGGATGTGCTGTATCCTTGATGGTAAACTCTGCGATGCGCAAACGACCTTCAGTTGAGGGATCCCTCCCCAGCTTTGACCGCAATGACAGTCAAGCCTCCAATCACCGAAGCCAGCCCTCCAATGACTTTCTTGGCTTTGGACGACATCTTGTATTCAATGAGCAGCGCGTGGCGGGGTAGAACGATGCGATCCTCGCGCTGGTCGATGTCCACAAAGATATCATCATAGAGATCAAACAGGTGTGTGTAAAACCCCTGATCCATCGACTGGGGCTTGTTTACCGCCTCAGTAAAGGCTTCGTCGAGAGCGGAGTGTCGGATCAAGGCCTTGAGGGGGGGCAGTGCTGTGAGGTCGGGAACTTCGATCTGCTGGTTGTTAGTATTTGTGAAGGTAATAGACTCTTGATGGGACAAGCAAGAGCTTACCGAGCGAAGTGTGGCGATCGATACAGTCGGCTTGAGACACAATACGTTGGTCTTGAGGAAGCGTTTGGCTTTGCTGGTGTTCGCCTCAAATGTGCCTTCGATAGCTTCCACGAGCCCTTGCGGATCTTCGTAGCTGGCCGCTGCCAAGATGGTGCCACCAGGGCGTGTAGAAATGGAGGATTTGGTGAGGAGGAGGCAGGATTTTGTTGCCATGATTTGAGATATTTGGTGGTTCTTGACGAGCAAAGTAGGCTGTATTTATGGTGTGGTCTGGTGTGTAGTCTGGTGTGTAGTCTGGTGTGTAGTCTGTTTGTTCCCTTAAAGCCCCCCCAGGAGTGGCATCAAAGACTTTATAACAATGCGTCAACCGGCGGTTGGATCAGACTTACCGAGGATACCATTACGACATCTACGTAGATGTGTGGAAATGTCCACAGTAGCGGGTTCGTGAGCGTATCTACAGAATCGAGGACAACAAGTCTTGACAATACGAGTAAGTCCGTGATTCTGGGCAGGAAACCACCACATGACACCGATACCGAGGATGACATGATTTGTAACTGTGTGATACGTCATGATGGGATCAAATTGTGTAGAAAAATTGCGAGAGCGCGAAGGCGCGCATCAAGTCCAGCACATGTTGTGTCTCGAGCTACGCCAACAAGTGTTCCTAGGACCGTATGTCCACCGCGAGCGCCAACAACTTACGCTAGAGGACCAAAGGCGGTGTTGCACGTGAGCAAGAGCCATCACACTAATGGACGTTACTGAAGATGGTGTTGCGAAGCCGGGAAATACGGTGCTGAGCCTCTTGTTACTATTGAATGACAAACAACAGCCAAGATCCGTAATCGGTGAGTCCACGGTGTGCTGGTGACAATTCGTGCGCCGCCGCCCGTTGTTGAATTCGCGACTCTCTAGTCGGCTTTGTAACGGCTTGCATCGGAGTAGTGTACGCTAGAGAGCCGGAGACCGCCGGGATTGTGGTGCTGTACCGTACCCTATGTCGGAGCCCCTGAACACGATCAAGCTATACGTACGTACGTACTCGGTTTCCTCGTGCCCGAAGCTTGATCAGAGTAGAGAGTACCTCCGAAGTCGAGGTGTTTTGCAAAGGCTTCGAGTTGTTGTGGTTGTAAAGAGGCGGTGCGAAAACCGCATCATGGAGCTTTGCCAATGACGTCGGGCAACATCCTCTGCTCACTAATTAGCCCCCAACTTGGATTTCTCCACGAAGAATGGGGATAAGGTCGCCTTAACTAGCCCCAACCAACAATTTGTCCACGACCAATGGTGACAGCGGCTCAAGGGTGCCATACCTACCTTATGCAAGGTACAGAACACCCTCCGGTACAGGCGCTGCTCCGGTACGGGGCAGCTAGCTCTGGAGTAGAGCAGCTTGCGCAGGGGAAATCTCGTGGAGATATCCGTGCCTTGACTGGATTCTTACCGATGAAATGTTCGTGGAGAAAAAAGTACTGCCAAGGAACGTCAAGCCACCACCCAACGGGCTGATAACGTCCCCCGCACCACCTCCAAAGCACCGTTGTGCTGGAGGGACGCTGGCAACTCAGCCTAAGATCTCTCTCTTCCCGCGCCGCCATCCAAAGTCGAAACCAAATTCATCCTTTCATTATATACCCAAAGATCGAAACCTCCTGGCGAACCGCATCACGAACCTCGCAAAGTTGACTCTGAGCTGCCAACATGTCTGCCGAAGACAATGGGCAAGGCAGCAGAGACCCGGTAAGTTGTCGGATGCCTTTCAGATGCCTTCCTACATGCATCTGGGCCGCTCGCAACACAAGCTTTCCCTGCCCATCATCCCATGTTTCTCCACACCGTCGCTGAAGTTTGCGGCACTCCCGCTCATCTCATCTCGGCCCCATCCCATGGGATCGGATGCTCTCAATGCAAGGTTGCTCCATCCTTTCAGGGAAGAGCATGCGAAGCATGTCCGCCACTCCATGAAGCACCGATGCTAATGCTACTGTTCGCAGTTAATCCCCCGTGGAGACAACTTCATCCCTTTCGAAAGATCAGACGTTCGACGATCCCGAGTTAAGGACGCGCTGAATCAGACGAATGTCCTCGCCCCGAGCCAGTCTCCGACTCAAACCCCGCCTTCTGGACGCAGGGGAATCGAGGAGTCTCCCACCACCGGCGGTATCGCCGGTCATGTCGTCGGCCCCAGCACGTCCACAGCGCCGTCCACGGCGCAATCGCAGAGGGATTCGGTTAGCGCCGGCCAACAGACTCTCACAACTCTCACAACTCCCACCACTGCCGTCTCTAATACTAATGCAACAACTCAAGACAACGAGCAGGCGGACTTCTTGATCTGCGGGTCGTTTTTGATGTACGGTACCACGGCCCCCAAAAGTTGTCAACGTATATTCACGCGCCCTTGCGATCTAAAGTATGGGATTGTTCTACCCTGCCTCGAGTTATTGAAAGAGGTACCTACTTATGTACTAGTAGCTGACAGTGGTTAACAGACAACACAACTGGCAGTCTCACGTCCACATTAACGATCAATACCTTATTGTCCATGAGGAGGCCGCTCAACAACGCCTCATGGGACCTATCGGCAGCCGACATAACGCAAGGTCTAGAGCATTGAAACCTTACCAGTCTAGAGCGACAAAAGTAGTTTTGGAAGAGCGTCCAACTTATCGTCTTACTATTCAGGGCTGGGATCATTTTGTCACCATCATCGGCATGCTTGATCAAAATCGACCTCGACCAGAGGATGAACACAGGAATCACCGCATCACATGCATTTCCACCCTATGGCGTTCGCAGTATGGAAACGATCGTCCCGGTTTCGGGATGCAGAGTAAGTTTACAATTCCTCGCTCAATCCTGTGGTCTTCAATCCGAGTAGGTAACTATGTAAATCTTCGTGACTGACGAACATCTTTTGAATTCCTTAGCGGACATTAGTGACGCAAACAAGGCTATTCTCAACAGGAGCATACGAAACGCCATGACATTCTTACTGGATCCCGAAGGAGAAAACTCCTCGACGTCATTCATCGACGACGAAATCTACTTGACAGATCAGAGGAACAATCCAGCTTCGCAAACTCAACAAGTCGAACACTCTGAAGGAGCAGGGGCGATCGACGTGCATCCGACGGTTATGGAGTTCATTCACGGATTGTCGGCGGAGGAATGTGATTACTACATTGCTGTATTAAAATTGCTCAACATCCAAGGCACTGGGTAGGCAGGCCCAGCAAGTTGATGAATTCGCGCTGCATGGTGAACAGGAAGACTTTATGTAGCTTGGAAAGATTACGAAGGTGAACGATTGTGAGTTCATTTGTTTGCTGAGTTTGGAAAGCACTGGCAGAAGCATACATTTACTTGCGAGCGGGAAATCATCTTTAAACAGAATGAGGTCATACCGGAGACGGGAACCTGGGATGGCGTTTGGACGGGAGCGACCTGATTGCATGTAGCCAGTCTTATAGACAGCGTTGATAAACTTATATTCAGTGATCGAATCGCATCATTTGGACTACGTATATGCTGTTGCGTTAGGTTGGGAGAACAACAGGGCCCAGCCAGTTGAGATGTCGAACGCAAACCACAACAGTAGTAAAGGGTGTATTCTCACAGCGCATGAATGAGTAGAGGGATGCTGCAGTTGAGCCTATATAACTTGATCCTCCAGTCTAATTGAGCCGACTCTCCCCTTTGGTGATTAGCATTCGGTCAGTGACCTCTTCGATTCCCTCTAGAGTCGCTCTCGACATTCTAGTGCTCAGCTCCTCAACTTCACAAGACACGACTTCGGCTTTGTGAATATCCCTTCAAGGAGTGCATCGTCCTCCAACTCAGCAGGCAACCTCATAAAGTCCAGGTTCCAAACTAACAGCGTAATGATCAGCTTCAACTCCATATACGCCAGTCTCTTGCCCCAGCATCCTCGGGGGCCATAACTAAAACTCATAAATGGACCAGCTCTGTTGTTGAACACGATTTCGCCCTTCTCGTCGGGCTGCAACCAGCGTTCTGGATGGAGTTCTTCGGGAGGGTATTCGGTCAAGGCCCAGTCTCCGACACCCTCGTTGGCGACCTTTTGTGATGTTTCGCTACGCTTCGCCTCGTCGACTTTGGCACCGGCTTCTGAGACCGTTGGCCCCGCCAAGAGAAAGACGAGGGGCGTTCCCTTGGGTATGCGGTACCCAAACATGTCCATGTCGACAAGCGTCTCCTTCATGATGGCTCCGGCGGGACTGCTCAGACGCAGAGTCTCTTCGATGAATGCATCGAGGTAGTGGACGTGAGTCTTTGTGATCTCGTCAACCGTAGGCTCTCGCTTCTCTGAAACTGCATCTGGGTATGCAAGCCGCAACGCTTCTCGAAGCTTGGACTGAATTTCTTGGTGAATACCCAGGTATTTGACTGTGAAGCAGAGCGTGCTGTGTGTAGAATCCTGCCCGCCGACAAGGTAGCCCCAAATCATGTCGTGTATCCTTGCCGAATTAAAGACCGGCTCTCGGCCGGCGGCGTTTGCTGCTGAAATCTCACGCGAGACGATGTAGTCTACTGCCGAGGCAAATTCCTCCTTAGAGCTTTCGCCGCGGGGTAGATCCTCGACGGAGCGGTCGATATGAGACTGGAGAATGCTTTTCTTCAAGCCGAATGCCCGGCGGATAGTCGGTCGATTATCATCGTAGAGAAAGAAGAGCTTGGGGATGAGTGCACGGAAGGCACCGTTGATTCTTTCGTTGAGAGTATTCAGGGCGAATAGAAGCGGTGGTGGAAAGAGTTTTGGGAACTCTGCAAGTTGTGAGACGTCAAACTTGGGCAATTCGGATCCGTTAGGTGAAGGAAGCACCGCGAGTCTCTCATTGGTGTAGCTATCTTCCACAGAGGTGCCAAAAGCCGCAGCGTTCATGATGTCGTAGGTAAAAGCCTCGAGGTCGGCATCGGCCTCAAAGGGCCGGCCATTAGCGATGGCGGCTTTCGTCTTCCACAGTTCTATGAATTTGTGAACCATCTTATGTGAAGCTGGCGCCGACACCTGCATTCTGTCAGCATCACACCCCACAAGTTCAAGTTGTCCAGTTACGAGCGGTATCATACCCCATGTAAGAAGCTTGGTGTCATGAGGTCTTTAGTGAGGAATTTGGTGTCCTTGAAAGAAGGATGCGAATCTTCCATGGAGATGAAGTGCCCAGGAATCACACTGTTCCAGGTGATATCGTTGGTAACCCCACGGCCGAGATCTTTGCCTCGCTTCGACATCAAGTCGCGGGCCTCGCGGTAATCTGCAATGACGATGTGCGTCCTATCGAGAGGTCCAGGGAAGAATTGAGCAATGGGGGTGTTGTGCTTGGAGAGCAGCTGCGTGAAGAACTTGAGCCAGTATTCCCCCGCATTGTCGAGTTCGATGAAGTACGGTGCATCTCCCAGGATTCGCTTTGCAGAATCGAGGTTGAACGGCGGTCCACCAGCGATCGGCCTAGGTAAGAGTCGAAGATAGAAGAGACGAATGGAGATGGCGATAGTAGCGACAATGGCCGCATATACGGCGAAACCCGCCATGGCCTTGATTATCAAGATGCTTTTGGGATAGGCAGTCTGGTCTAAGTTGTGCGGATGAGTTTCTCAGAATGAGATAACGACTCAGCGGCACAACGGACTGCTTCAACAACGTCGAATCGCGACAGTTTTGTATCTCCAAAGTTGACGTGCATGAGGGCCGCGTGGAGTCTGCCATCCATTGGAGGTAAGCTTCGGATGAAAGTTGATGCTCTTGGCGCCACCTTCCCTGCTGAAGAACAGGGACGGGAGTGAGCACTAGCACTGTAGAACAGCGGCACAGCGGTCGCCGCGGCACCCGATTCGGTCTCGGCACTGGCGGGGTATCCACTCGTGGCCTCACCGGCCTCCGGTGCTGGCGACGACGGCCGGGAGGGGCACGAGGGGGACGTTTCGAGTGTCATGCGAGGTTCCCGTTTGGGCGTTTTCTCCTTGTCATAGTATTTCTCTTTCTGGCCATTGGACTATCTGTACGGGGTACGATGATCCTGGATCGTCGCGTGCGTCTCTGATGTTGTGATGCGCTGAGGATGTGTACTGAAAACCGATCCAATCACCGTAGACTGGAACTCTGAGTTAGTAGCAAACGACTGAATTCCATCTAGGGTATTCAAAAGACTCATAAACTGCATTTCTAAGAGTCAACATGGATTGATCTATGGTTAATCAGTACAATTACGGTGAGCTTGCGCAGCTGTTTCTACCTAAAGGTCTATCAATTCGTCGCCGAAAGAAAGGGTACCTACTTTACATTGAACAAGCCCGACTCGTTTCTACCATCGCCTCGAACCATGTTCATCCACAGACTTACAACCATTCTCTTAGACAACCTTGAAACTTAAACATGACGCATAAGCTGGTGGGATATGTAATCATCCCGAGCGGTCATGATGCAGGTTGAGCACACTCTCGGCCGGTACGGGATTGTGGACGACAGCCGCCCGGCGGGCCGTCGGTAACACCCATCCACCCGATATTCATCATGACTTGGGAAGCCAAACCCTGAAGACTCCCCATGTCTTCCAATCTGGGAACGTTACCAAAATTTTGGAAAAGAATCCTTGGAATCCATGAATCATGGTTACAGTTACACACGGTTAGACCGAGACCTTTTGAGTTGGTGTTACAGTCTCACAGACTCCGAACATCCGGAAGCGGAGTCGCAAGTATGACGATACGCACGCAAAGATAAGCCTTCAATTGCAGAGGTACCCCTCTAGATATTGCTATAGAAGAAAAGCCATAGCTCAAGAAGCATCGAAGGAAAAGTCCGCGCCTTTGGCATTTGGGGTGAGACATGGGCGACGATGCAAACCTTGATCTGAGTCTAAAGTCAAGTCTGAAGCCAGTCAGCTTAGCGAAGATACACGCGGGAAAGGCGACACCGATAGACACCAATACGTAAACGTCTTCCGCGATCCATTGACCTTGGCGCCTCCGATCTTGAGAGCTTAAAGCCTTTTACCATGATTCTTCCTTCTCCTTCCACAGCGGCATCTCCCGCAGCGACAAGATCATAATTGATCCTGTCCTCGTGTCCACGACATGCCGAAGTCGACTGCCTCCAACGCCCGCTCCGCCTTTGTTTGTGCCCCGGCCCGTGGCGTGGCGATCCCGGATCTAAACGTTCGCCACATGGCTGTGCACGCGTAGGCCGCCGCAAAGGAGAGGACAGAGGCGCTTCAGGTGTGGTTCCACGGAGTTTGGCTTGATGATTGGAACTCCAAAGCTGTAAGGTTACGGAGATAGAGAGCACACGTGGATGGATGTCGATTGTGTCTCAGATTCTACAACACGCTGCATTCATCTTGCGATAGGAGAATGAGGTGCATAGCAGTGACTTTGGCATTAATGGTGGCTTTTATGGTAATAGTAAATTACAAATTGGTATGGGAAACTCATGCAGACTGGGGATATCATCGCAGGAAAAAGGAAAGTGAAAACAACCAATGCCGTGTCCTGCTTCGTGTCTTCCAAAATCATACCACGACCTTCATGGTGCGGAAGTACTTCTTAACCCGTGACGACAGCGTTGACGATGATTGAAATGTCTCAACCGTCTCCCCAGAGTCCTCAGAGTCCAGTGAGTACCTCCTCTCCTTGACGAACTTGGGCCACGTGTTGGTGAGGACGAGGTACTTGATGCTCGACTCCGCGTCGTCGAAGACAGCAGCGTTGAAAGCCTCGGGGATCTCGCCCCAGTACTGCACCCGGTCCGCAATGGGGTCTCCGCTGCCATCTCGTGATACGCAGCTCATCTCAGAGCCACCCGCTGTTGACTCAGGTCCACCCCAGCTATTATCCTCAAATGGTACCACAGGATCGCTGAAGCGCTCCGTTCGGTCGCCGTATAATATTCTAGCTGCGCCTTCGAAGACGCCTTCTAACCGCTTCAAGTCCTGTGATGCGATGTTGATCTGGAACTCGGCGTGGTAAGGGCTGATGAACTCGGTGTAGATGCGCAGGGCCCGGTTGAAACGTTCCCGTGAGATCTCGGCCGATCGATGTGATGATCCGGGGCTCTGAGGGATTGATGACTTCCATTCGGCAACGGCTGACAGGAATGCAATGTTCTCGCCGGAGAAGTCTCTGAGGGCAGAGAACTTGCGGAGGGGCTCGGGGTTCTTGTCCAAGACGTACTCGAGGGCGCCCATCGTGTAGACACTTTCTGCTTGGCTGGTGTCCTTTTCGAGCTGCGCAAGTGATTTCCAACTGACGGAAGCTTGGCTTCCGACTTTGGTCGATCCGGTGATGACAGAGTCTCTCCCGGCGCGGGACTTGTTCTTGGCTTCCCAAACAGCGATGGACTCGAGCGTTTCCTGTCTGAGAGTCTTATGCTTGACGACTTGCCAGCAGGGAATGAAGATTGCAAAGATTTCAATGAACGTGATGGAGAGGCAGATCCTAGGAGTAAGTCAACATCGAGCTCGGGAGGAAGAACGTGTCTATGCGTTGCTTCATATAACTTACCACTGCGGGGGGATGAAGTAGGCATTGACGGGCGCCATCGCTGGGACGTACAAGGCGACAAGCCACATAGGGGTAGCGTGAAGGCTGAACTCGTTAGTGTTGGCTCGGGGGGTTTGTCACGGAGAAGCGACAAAGCGCTAACCTGGATTTCAACTCACCTTGCGATAGAACATGCAATGGTCTGCAGACGCCACCCTTGAGTGTCCTGGATTCCACGTGATTTCCAGAGAATCACAGGTGCGACCAGCCAAGCCCAGAGGAACTGCCAAAATACAGAAGGCCACCATTCCCAGCCCCTACCCATCTCGACTTTTTGCTGCGCTGGAGTTCCCGTCACTTCAGTGCCGGGGATACCAAACGACGGGTGATATTTGCGCGAGACCAGATACATGACCACTGTTAGAAGAAGCTGATGATGAAGCACGTCAGCCATCAAGTGTCAACTGTCAAACATGCCCCACCATCTGACCCTGCATCAACTCACTTGCACAAGCATGCCCGTGCACACGACGGCTAGCATCTTGGTGGTGTAATCGAGCTTCCGGAACTTCCCCGTCAGGGTCTTGTCCGGCCCGTTGCCGGTGTCCAACTGTGAGTTGGACTGTGTGAGCGGCTTATCTGCATATTTCCGCTGCGCCTTGGCGATGTGGAGGAACCGGCTGTTGGAAGCGTGGAAAAGAGCAATGCCGAAGGGGAGGTAGAGGCCCATCACCCAAAACTCGGCGCCATCGGGGACGAACTGGCCGATGGCAAGCCCGATCTGCACCGAAAGCCAGTAGAGGTGGAGCATAGTGACAGCGCCAAACGACAAAGCCAGACCGCGGATCCTCAGAAAAGGCATTTTGCGGTTGACAAAGAGAAATGCCATGCCACAGAGCAAAAGCACTGTCCAAAACCCACCCCAGGCAAGCCAGAAGACCGCAACTGGCGCAGTATTGAACGAAGGCGCCGCTGCTGCGGCAGTTGGTGTAGGCGTGGCCTCTGCGCTTGACTCCATAATGACTGATCTCTGTCTCGTTGACTCAAGATCTGATAGTGATGTGCGAAGCTGCCGTCTGGCGAGCAGAAAAGGAGCGTAGGGAATAGAGCTATTTAGATATTCTCCATGCTTAAAATCCGAGGATGGTCTTGGTTATATGCTGGAATGCAGATGGGGCTGGAAAACAAGGTTCCTCGAGGAATGCGAAAGTGCTTTCCCAGTCACCCGTGATTCACCCGCCAGAAATCACTCTAGAAGACTTTGGGCGAACCCATCGTGCTTTTTCGAGGTAAGCCAAACGCGGTGGTGAGGCCGGCGCACCGTCGTGCAGATCCCTGTTTACGTCCACAATAGCGCTGGCCCTCGATGTCGATCACATCTCGAAAGTCTTTTCAACGCAGGGAGGATTTGAAGACGAGTTGAACGCCGAGTCCTGTCAGTTGCTGTTCTGAAAGGAAATGGCCAGCCTTCATGGCCCCGAGCTGGGGACCGTTGAAGTGAAACTGCAACGCAAGGGAGCGCGGCTGCATCCCCTCACAGGCGCCGCTCTCAGTAGGAGTGGGAGGGTGCAAGCAATAGTCGCGGTTTTAGACGATGGCTTCCAGTGTGGATCGTCGGTTGCATATGCAAAAGCAGGTCGCTAGCGCTAGTGTCAAGGGACGCCTCTCTTCCGGACGCTAATCAGGAGCCGGACTCTCGTAGAGCTGAGCCATGATGGCTAACGTTCTGTTTGGCCGTCGTCGCGGTTTTTTCTTGGGGCCCATGTCGCCTAGCGATTCAGCCAGTAGACGGTCCGTTGACCAGCGTAAGATCCGCAAGACGAAGCGTCATCGCAGATCTCTAAGCGGATCATTAGAGCCTTGGATAGTGTGAGGATCCATGAGTCGCTGAATCGGACCTGTCAAGAGAAAAACATTGCTTTATCTGAGATAACGCCGGCGCACGGTTCTCTTGATCTCGAGTTTGTCACTGCTGAACGAGAATGAGACAGTGACTGCAGACACGAATTGGTGTGATGAGTGTTAGGGCCCTGGCCAGCTGCGTGAAGTCTGGCCCATGGTCCGAATCTCACGATGTGTGCTGACTATGTCGAGGAACGAGCGCAGGGAGACTTCATGAGACTCACAGCCAACATAGAAGCTTCTGTTTCTGATTTCTGATACCGTGCAAGTGAGAGCCATCGGCCGACCAATCCAGAAAAAGGGAGGAAATCATCTATTCTGATACAGGTGGCTGCTCTGAATCCTATCCGCGAACCTCCACACGTGGCTCTGGATCACTCTCCCTTACAACAGCCAGCCCAAAGTTCCAACGTCATGTTGCTTTTTTGGTTAGGCGTCACTAGGTATTCACTTGCTTGCAACGTTGGCACCATGATAAGCCAGTTGAGAGGAGGATCCTGCAAGTGAGCCATCGTGAGAGGGCGCGGCGTTGCGCCGTTTTCTGGCCCGGTTGGTAAATTGCAACGGTATGCCTTCGGACCAACGTAAGCCTCATGCGTTCAAAGAAAGAACTGTGGTCCACGATAGACGCACGGAGAAAAATATCACGGATCTTGAATGCTTATCCGCGAAGAGGCGCACAGAAAGACAATGGATCTATCTGGAAAGCGAGATCACTCCTGTCGATCTATGAGGAATCCAACGCATGGGTTGGAAAGTTTCATAGGATATCTCTCGATGCCTTGCTTTATTGGATCACGAAGGCCCCAAGCGCTGAAGGCTAAAGGAGCCGTGGCGTCCCCATCGCGCGCTAGCTAGCGCGGACATGAACCTGCAGGTCCCCGGAGCGAAATGTTCGCCGGCTTTTGCCACCTCAACTTGAGAACTTTTCTGCAATTGTCGTGTTCAAGGATGCCAGTATGTGATCATGGCGGATAGTGTGAGTAACAGAAATGCCCAGGAGGAAGAAGTGAGTCGCCGTCCGGGGTACCGAGTTTGACTCGTGGCAGACAAAGGCACGGTGGGGTGACTAGGCCTCTCCACGCCCGGCAAAGCTATTGAGATCATGTAATATTACGGGTATCATCTAGTGCGGGTTGTCATCACAGCTCATCCAAAACAAAGCTTCTTCTGCCGCGGGTCGTCACTCGGCGGTCTCGCGGGTGGTCTGCCGCGTTTCTTTTCTCCACCGACCTTGACCTTTTTTACGTCCGGCGTCGTCGACCTCGAGAGCGGCGCAGGGGGCATGTCCTCGTGCACGGCTTCGCGAATGGTCTGTCTTGAGAGGCAGAGGTCGATGTGCTCGTTGAACTGCCGTTCATCCGGCGCTTGTGGGCGATTGCAAATTGGGCAATCCCACATCTCATCGTTGACGGGTGCGTATTCCCGCACAGGATTGGGTAGAATCTCCTTGCCGTGTCTCCTAGCTGGGCTTGGGTCGCTGTCGATGTTCGTACCATCGCTCTCGATGTCAACCGCTCGGAAACCCTCGTGATTGTCAAGCCCCAAAAGTGATTCTTCAGGCCACCGCTCCCAGCCGTCATCGTCAAGTTCACCGCTGGCTCCAGAGTGCACAAGCCTGGGAGCCTTCTCGGGTGATGCCAGGGCGTCAGGTCTTCGTGATCTGAAGCCAAAGAATGCCATCGTATCTGGCTTCTTCGTGCTGACAAGGTGGGTGCATCGTAGGCCCATTAGGCGCAGCATCATCCCCGGCATTTCCTCCTCCAACTTCGCCAAGATGGGAACGGAGAAATGATAAAGGTCGCCAGCCAGACATATTGCTCTTGGTAAGACGATTTGTCGCGTAAAGACCTCGTACGTGTGAAGCTTCACCTTGAGAACCAGCGTGCGACCCTTGACTTCTGCCCTCTTCATATCCTTCTCCAGCTCCTCCGCAGTCCACTTCAGCTTTTCTCTGAATAGCTGAGGATCAGACATATCTTTGAAAGTGCTCTCGGTACCGACACTCTTCCTCTCGTACTCCTCTGCCGGCTGGATTTTGGTGCGCCCCAGGCCAAGATAGACATTGATCAGGAATTCGTACGCCTTGTCGCCAAAGAGCGGTCGGAGAAATTGGCGATAAGGATAGATGCCTGCGCAAGTCTTGATACCAATTTCGGCCAATTGCCGCTCAAGCACACGACCAACACCATTGACTTTTCTGGGGGGAAGCTTCGCCATGAAACGCAAGATTTCGCCTCGATCATTTGGCAGAACAAACTGGCCGTTTGGCTTGTTCATGTTTGAACAGATCTTGGCAAGCTTCGCATTTGCTGCGATACCCGCTGACACTGTGATCTTGGTTCTCTCGTGGACCTCTCGCCGCATCTGCTCCACGGCTTCGGCCGGCTCGATTCCCTTATTCGTGCAGTATTCCGTGATATTCAAGTACGCCTCGTCAATACTCGCACTCTCGAATCGAGGGTCGTATTCGACTAGGATCTCGCGGACCTCGTGTGCCTTTGCAGTGTACTTCTCAAAGTTGAGCTTGAGCAGAACCAATTCGGGACATAGCTTCTTGGCGACGAACCCAGCCATCCCGCTCCGACATCCATACTTTCGCGCAACGTAGTTACACGTTGTCAGAACACCGCCGCCAACAGCGAAGGGGATATCTTTGAGTTCGGGCCGGTCTAGGAGTTCAACGGCAGCATAAAACGCATCGCAGTCGACATGCACGATGTATTGAGTCAGGTCTCGGGACATCTCCGATTGTGTGATGAGCTGGTCAGCGAGGCGAAGTTCTCGACTGAGGTCTTGCTTCTCGAGGTGGCGTTTCTTTTCGAGGATCTGTTCAATCTTTTTTGTCAAGGTTTTGTCGCGTTCTTCTTCACGATTGAAGAATTTTGATCCTTTCGAGGCATTGTAGATGATATCGGATACCTGGTAGGCCACTGTTAGGGAGATTGGCACCCCGCCATAGGGCAGGCTGGAGATATACCTTGGACTGATCGACAGCATCCTGACCAGCTTTTGTAAGAGATGGACCCAAGAGGGAGTATTTGAGGGTGTCATGCTCCGAATCCCCATGGGCATCTTCTGGCACCTCGTCGAGGGACGGCGGGGACGTCGCCGATGCCGTCATCGTGAAATGATGAACAACGTTGAGAGAGAAGCGTATGGAGATGCCGGAGCAACTATCGTGAAAGGCATGTCTCCTTAGTCAATGCCGTGTGTGTTGGTGGAGTATATTGCCGGTGCTGATAGTTTCACGTCACATGGGTGAGGATTGATGATGCCCCTCCACTCGCATGGCATTGATGGTTGCAAAGTGGCGACGCGTCGGATCCGTCTGGTTGCATTGTCAGCAAACTGGCGCGGGGTCACGTGGCGCGGATACGAGATCTTATTCAGTTAACCACTAAATGCATTGACTGGAGTCTTTCCTCCATTTTGTATCACATTAAACATTATTGCTATTATGCAGTACTCTAGCTCCTAACGCCGCTTCCGGCTGGCCACAATTGCCTGCCGCTGTCTTTTTTGACCATTCTTTTTGACTCAATGCCATCAACTCACTGTTACTCTAAGTTGAGCACGTGAAACTCTCAGCCTTCGACTGATCACCACCGCTGGTGAACTTTTGGGTTGACGGGTACGGGCAAATCGGCCTCTGTCTTAGGACTTCAGTAGTCGGATCAGTCGCGTTCTTCCACGTTGTTGCGATGAGCGAGTCCGGCGCGGCACCGCCGTCAACCCACTGCTGGAGCGCAAGAAGCGCATCGTGTGTCGCGTCGGAATAGCCTGGCACCGAGTAGTTGCCACCGCCGAGCAGCTGTTCCGCCTGTCCCGGTCCAGCGATGTACCAAGGCGCGTCGACGGTTGTGGTCTTGTGCTCCAGTCCTGGGAGGAAGAAGAGACGGAACCAAGCGCGAACGGCCTCGACGTCGCCGCCGGACTGCGCAACAACCTTGTCGTAGTAGACCTGCGATGCCTTAGCCGGAACATCAGCATCGGATAGGCCGTGGTACATGATGATCTTGCCGCCGAAGCTGGAGAACTTGGTTAGGTTGAAGGTGTTGACGTCTAGTTCACCGGGGTTCGTTTCGTTGGCGTACGCGGGGACAGTCTCGTTGTAGCTTGACCACGCCCACTCCGCGTCATTGAAGAGGAAATACTTCATGTAGCCGACGGCCACCTCGTTCGGCTCAGAACCATTACCGCCACCCAGCAGCGAACCCCATCCGTACTCGGAGGAGGGGCTGACGCCAGGGAAGACAGTTTCGTCGTTGACCTTGTAGTCAGCGTACAGCGCCTGAGCGACGGTGACTTGCTCAGCGGACAGACAAGCTGTCGCGTCCACACCATCTTTACCGCAGGTGAAGAGGTCATAGTTGATAGTGCAGTTGGCGGGGTCGCTGACGATGCTGTCCTCGACTCCGTCCGCTGCGTCGCACTGCTTTCTAACGGCATCGCCAATCACGGTGAACTTCTCGGCTGGGATATGCTTCGCATTATCGGTGGGCAGGTTGGTGATACCAATCGCGATCCTCCAGCTTTGCAAATGGCTCTGCCACCAAGCCGGGGCACCGATCAAGAGCGCCGAGTAGTCACGAGGGTACATCTCAGCAGCCTTGAGACCCTGTCGACCGCCGTCTGACGTGCCGGAGAAGTAAGACGCAGTAGGAGCCAGACCGTAGTACTTCTCAACAACTCTCTGAGCCAGTGCGAGAGAGTTGTGCAACGCCCTGTGTCCGTAGTCGAGCTTGGCTCCATTGTTGTTCAGCGCCCAGGTGAGGTTGCTCTGGGTAGAGTTGTGACCGGCATCGGTTCCAAGTGTGACGAAGCCGTACTTGACGCCGACGGCCATGGCCGGAGCGTTGACGCCTCCCGAAAAGCCATCATTCCCAACAGTAAGGATCTTGTTGTTCCACTCGTCTGGCAGGAACATGGCAAACTTGTACTCATTTCCTTCCGATGTCTTTGCGATGAAGCTCACGGCGCAGAGACTGGGCAAGTTCGTGACATTACCCGGGAAGGCGACGTTGCCCTCCTCGGAGAAGCCGTTGCCCGCATCGACCGACTCGACCGTTGAGATGGAGGCGTTGGCGTTGATCCAGTAGCTGATTAGCCTCGGGGTGCATGATGTTGAGTTCGTAGCAGCAACCTGCCGCAACGCGGCAAGCGCAATCGTGAGGGAAGCAGTCCACTTCATCTTTGATCTTTGGTCAAGGAATCCTTACGACGATGGAGCAACAGAGTCCTTGGCTTCCGCGGGCAAACCCCGCTATTTAAGATCCGCAACATTGGAATGAGTGATTTTGAAGATTTGTTGACCATGCTTCCATTTTGCCACATATCATCGCATCAAAAGCAGCCTCTGTTTACTTCTACACCTCTGTTTGCGGCTGGCGTCTCCGGCTCTCGGCGCTCATCTGACGATGGAAGTTGACATTCCTGCACGACCAATGAACTTGCCAGTCCTGAGACATCCTCTTTCCGCTCTCGGCTCCGTCCAATGAATGATCATGATCACTGCCCGAAATAATGCGCATCATGCCATGCGTTTTTCCGCTCGCGGCTATCTCTGCGCTAACATTAACTAGATTAAAGTTGTTGCTAGTACGAGCTACCAGAGGCCCGGATCGAGGGCATGTTCGTCAAACTGCGTCTTGCCGCAGGCAGTGAGGTGGTGGGGCTTGCTTCCTACCTGCGTCGGCTGGTTGACTGTTCAGATCACGAATCAACAAGAAGAACACGACGTATGCCTGAGGGAGGTTGGAAGAGCCATTGAATCAATGCTACGGGTTCTAAAGAGTGTAGGGGCCAGCACACGAACAACTGATCGAGCGACTTCCTGAAAACTCATTTGGGAAAGATTGCCAAGACCGTTGCGGGGAATGTCAACCGAGGAATGTAAGAGCAGCGCAGGTCCGGCGAGAATAAAGAATGAAGTCGGAAACAAGGAATCGCGAAGTAAGGTAACTCCAAAAGTATGAAGTCCACCACCAAGACTTGCCTTACCTACACGGCGCCTGTTTACCACCTTTTCTCATGCGGCAAGACTCATTGAGGTGACGCGATACATAGTCTGACCTTCCTAGTTCTTCCCCGCAGTCAGGGCACTTGTATGGTCCGTCGACTCTTACATGGTTGGTGTTTCGGTGACGAAGGAGGTCTTTCTTCTCCGCAAACTCGGCGGGGCATCGATCAGGAGTGGCTCTCGGCATGCTAAATAGACACTTGTATGGCTTTGTATGTGTTTTCATATGTTTGCTGTATCATTATTAGCTCTACTTCCATCCCAAACGCAGTACTGGGAACCCCACGACCTACTTGAGCCTGTGTTGTCTAGGGAAGCCTTTCCCACATTTGCTACATTCATACTTGGTTTCCTCCATTGTACGTTCAGCCAACATCATTGCTTCTTCGTCTTGTAACTTCCACTCTTCTGGAACCTGCGATGGTCGCACGTCGGGACAGTGACTCTCGTTCTGCGACCATCCACCCTCAGGAGTCTAATATCCTGAGGGTGCAGTTCCGGAAATGGGGACGAAGGGCATGGGGTTGTGTGAATCATCGGTTGATCCACCGAACATTGGGATGCCCAAGTGATGGCCCCTTTCCTGAAAAGGTAAATTCTCGGCATTCATATGGCTCCCGTCTTCGAAATGGAAATCCCCTTGGTCGACTTGTTCAAAGAGCTCGTACTCATGAGGGGCTTCTTGCGCGTAGTTGTTCATTGCGCCAATATCCAAGCTGACGCTGCCAAAAGTATGGACTACAACCTAATCAGCAATGCACCCCCCTCCATGTGCCGTTTGGACGACATAAAGCAACCAGGAAACGAAACGAAACTCACAGCGTTGTAAGCTACCACGACCGAGTGAGACGTCCTTAGAATTCGAGGAATGCAAAATCTTGTCCCCGCCATTCAGGCCCAGTTTTGCAGCAGCCTCGCACATTAGTTTCATCGACTCCGTTTCTTACACACCTGCACTGGCTTAAAGGGGTCACTCTGAGTTCCAAAATGATCATTTACAACTCAGAATGGACAGGGTGTGTAAAGCGCTGATTCATGTTATTGAAAAGGCTCGGCGAACGGCTCAAAATGACATAGGGCGGTACTGGGGTCTTGCTTTGTCCTGGAAGGATATGAAGGACTGAATGGGACAATTTCAAAGCAGGGCGTAAGTCTCACATGATATAGTCACAGAGTACGAATGATGAGAAATGCCCTGACGTTAGTTCTCCAATTTCCATTCACTATGAAAGGTAGCGCTGTTGGTTCGATAACATGACGAACAACTTACGCCATATAGCATCAGATAACCTATTAAGTTGAGGTACTGGTAGAAAGGCGTAGTATGGTGTTGGAAATGGTGAGGATAAACTCGCCGGCACTGGCTTGGAAGCCAGGCGTAGAGATCCAATCTTACGTGTCGAATAGTACCTAAAGCCTGACGCCAACCTCAGCACATTGTTCGCGCTTCCATCGGCCAATGGTCATGTCGAAGTGTGCATTAGAGCGGTCGGCCTCGGACCTTAGCTGTTAACTAGCTTCTGGCCAAAACACCTGAAGCCAATCATAATGCCGGTGGAGTTATGGGGTTTTCGGTGAGATGCGGCTTGGGGGCAGGCAAGGCGACCTCAAGTGTGGCCGGCAGACAAGCTAAGTGGTTGGAAGACACCGCACATCCAATGTTGGTGGTCTCGTTCTGCATTTTGATACATCAAACCGGCATGTTGCATCAAGGATCAAGTGCGATTGGATGTGTCCTCGGCTGTATTGGACTCAATGCTGCCGACTTCCTCTGCCTTTCTTTAGGCAACCGAGTGTTGGCGGAGTTCTGGCGGGTTAGGCTCCCATAAATGAAAGCGCTTGGGCTTTCGTTCTCAACGGTTTTGAAACTCATTTCCGCAAAATCTTTGGGGAAAGAAATCTGTGTTACGAAGTAGATTCTCCGTTGATTACTAGAACATGATACAGCCTAGGTACTGGGCTTGTCTACGATGGCAAGCAAGGAATCGATGTCGGGGAACCCGGCAGTTCCCCGTAGACAAGAACGTACGAGACTCTCCCTCATGATCCGAAACTAGTTTACTAATACCTGAATCGAAAGGAACCGTGGCGGTAGAAGGCATTGGTGTGATCGCTGTCAAACTTCGAGATAGGTTGGTTTGGTTGTACGAGGCTTTGGTCCTGCTATGTGGTCTTAATGAGGCCCGTAGAAGGATGCAGAATGGACAATATCGGCATGCTTCTGAAATGGGCGTACCCGACGGCAGCTCTCGAACAATTCTGGAGTTCTTTATCAACAAAGTGGCTCAAATCTGTGATAACCGACCATTCGGGTCCACGATCACATCCCTTGCCATCATTCAGAAGCCTGACAAGGTGCAATACATCTTTTCATCCAATCAGCGGAGCTCGGAAGATGCTCAATATGCAGCCACGACCATCCAAATCCTCCTTGACAAAATGGGTTCACGGAATCGCGTCGACGTTGGAGACGATGATAGGTCCCCGGTCTTTCGCGAACTTCTTCGCGACATACTCCTATTTCATAAGCAGCGAGTTACTCTGTATAAGTCGCGACTTAACCAATGACTGAATCAATGCATCAAAGAATTGCAGGCTAGGTCCTTGGACGCGGGTATGTTTCCCTTGACCAAGTCAGTGGCGTCTTTGGTGTTCAACTATTCAACTTGGTTGATCAAATAGTTGTTTCTCTAGGAGACCCTCTACTTGATGAGCTAGAATATCTCCAAGCTTTGACCAAGACCGAGGTGCCTTTGGATGGCAGTGAAGGGTGTAAGTCTGGTCTAGGCTTCCCTTGATGTTTGGAAGAGTAATGCTAAACCGGCCCCTTATTACAATGCAGTCGCTAGCAACGGTGAACACCTGATTTTAGCCGCAAACAACTTTCGCAAAAGTCTGATGTACGAATCGGTCATTGAAAGAGCCCGGGAAGGACGCTTCAACGAGTCCGAGCGCTGGTGTCAGCTACAGCACTTCATCGAACGGCTTTCTTCGTATCACGGTGCTATTCGGGCTATCATTTCCGGCCGCAGACGTCTTCACCCGGACCTGTTCGAAAATTTCGAAATAACATGGCTGCCGTCAAGTATACCCATGAACAATCCGATGGACACACTTCAAAGCCATATGGGTATGAAGACGCAACAAAAGAGGCGTTCGGCGGACAATATTATCAGGAAAATGATGGGAAACTCGGCGGACCGTGATACGACTCTCGAACAGGCCAAAACTCTTCAGGTCTGTGGCTTGGATGAGTCCATCATGCATCAGTGTCAAAGGACGTCTTTCAAACCCATAGTTCATTGCGAAATTTTGTTATTGCATTATCTGGATCAAGAATATTGCCGAAATCGCTATCACATCCCGTTCTTCGACGACGTCAAATTTATAGGCTGCAGTAAACCTACCTGCCGGCTGTGCGAATATTATTTCGCTGCTCATAATACAGATATCCAAGTTCGTCCCGGACACAAGAATGTCTACTCAAATTGGACTATCCCGAATCTTTTTGCCAACGACTTGGCAGAAGCGAATGAGAGAGACAGCCTGCTCGACAAGGTCGTCAGCAAGATTAGAGAGGATGCACTTCGCGCTTTGAGAGAGAAAATAACCGATGGCAAAAGATTTGACTCAGACACTCACTCATCTTACCCAACACATCAGTCGCTGGAAACCAATGGTCAGCCAAACATGGATGGGCTAGCGTCCGCATTGGGAGACTTAACTCTCGTTAACCCAGCCGACATGGACGATTTTCAATCCTTATCAGAAGAAAACCGGAGCATCTTCTTAGAAGCAGAGGGAAACGAGACAGATGAAGATGATTGGGCAGGCTATGGCCATGCTGAACATTCTGGTGGCGTGTCTCTTCAGGGTTGAGGAAGGCCTCGGTTGTTATCTACATATATATTTCCCTCCCTTTTTTCTTTTCCCATGCCTTACCGTTCGTTCTCTTGTGCGAGGGAATGCTATAGGTGGTAAGCATGCTTGATACTCATAAGTTTTCAAACATCGTCCATTCCTACTTATGCCTTTTGAAACCGCTGCCTGCTTCACATGTGAAGCATTTTCAAATATGCTGCGTGGTTTCTGTCAACAGCTGGATATGCGATGCATATACCACACTTCTTGAGGCACGACCAGAAGCGAGTCGTCCTCTTTTGTAGCATCCGCTTAGGTTGTGCAGCCTCTTTTGCCATTGTAATTGTATGAACGGACGGGCGTGAATGGACGGGTGTGAACCCCATTGCCCGAAGCAAGCAAGCAAGCAAACATCTGTAGCAAAATATCGAGCCTGGGGTGAGTGCTTTTGAGCGTTATTATGCCCTGAATCGAGAGAGCGCAACGGGTTTCTTAAGTTCCTTCGAAGGGCATGACTTAAAGGATTACCGTCTCAGACTCACAGAAATCCACTGGCGGGAGAGGTAGCATCAAATAAGCCTGCGTAGCTCGGTCTCGGTTCTGAGGGAGTCAAATAGCGTTGAACACTGCTAATCGGACCACTCTCATCCTTACCTCTCGGAGCCGGTTTCCAATCCCTCGCTACAGCGGGTCATCCTACCAGAGAAGATCTCTGCCCATTCGGAGCCGGCTTTTCATCGACGGCCGTCGCAAGTCGGCAGCAATCTCCTCTCCGATCAAGTGATCTCAACTTCAGCCTCAAGATGTGGCACGTTCAATAAACTTCGGCAGCCCGCCCGGCTGGTCATGCTAACAATCGATGACTTAGCTAGGCTTCCCGCAACAGAAGCCAGTCTACTGATCGCATTCGCCATCACTATCTTTATTTGCTCTAAGCCGTATAAAGAAATCGCACAGACTTCCGTCTCCAAGTAAGCCCTCAGACTCTCCTGCCAGTTCCCCGAATTGGTAGGCTGTCAAGGCAACTGTGACCCGCGACGGCGTTTCATCCCATCTACGACGTTGATCGGAGCTCCGTTATTCCCTCAAACGGGAGTTGCTCAAGGCCAGAACCTGACCCGGGCGTCTGGATCAGCTCCAGATGGTTTGATGTGGACCTTGCTAGTATGACGGGATCTTCGCGATTGTCTACCTGCAGAGGACGGATGCCGCAGCGTCGCAAGATCTGGAGCGCTCACAGCAAGCTCTACCAGATACGTCCACTCCAACCGGCTGCCGGTGAGACCCAGATCTTTGGGACGTCGTCCGGCGTGGGAAACATCCCAACATCTTAAACGTTCATTGCATTTTCATAAAGGACCTTGATTCCCCCTGGTGAATGTAAGCGTGAACCAAGTGACTTGTTAATCCGGTCTGGCACCTGTCCATCTCTTCTGTTTGATTTCGATCTCGTTTCACTCATTTCTCCCTCAATCTCTCTCGCTCTGGTCAGCGAAGGTCGTGAGGATGAGGGCCTTTTTTGTCGTGGGCTCATTGGTGCTCAGCACTGTGGCTGCGGCGCCAGCAAATGATGTCCAAAAGAGAGACCTCCAAACCATTCAGGGGGCGTTCGTGTCCATTTCAGTGGCATCATCGAACTTGGATACAGCCATTAGAGTAAGTTGGCTTCGAACAACAGGCTTTGAATTGTTTACACACTAATCGAGGGGTCCAATTCACTAACACGATATCAGGCTTTGACACCCGATCCCAACAGCGCTTCTGCTCTCGGCCCGGCGATGATGGGACTCGAAGGTGCACTTGCACAAGCCCGTACTGATGTTGCGCCGACCTCACCGATCGGAATCTCTGACGGCATCGCTCTTCAGAACGCCGCCGATACTTTGACGAAGAGCGTGAAGATCATGGTCATGTCAGCAATGCTCCAGCGCCAGACGCTCGACCAGATCAACATGACGCCGATGCTTCTCCAATCTTTCATGAACCAGAACATGTTGTCGGCTGCACTTGGCCAGGTCGTTCTTTCCAAACTTCCTGCGGAGGGGCTCCAAAGCGCCATGGCCGCATTTGCCGGAGCTGGTGGCTCAGTTGGAATGGGAATTGTATCGCTAGCCAACCCCCCTTTGGCGATGCCTCCCGGTATGGGTCCTCCCATGGGTGGCGCCCCTCCAGCAGCTATGCCAGCCACTGGGGCCCCTCAGACGGGTTCGCCGCAGACAGGTTCTCCAGGGAACTCCTCCCAGTCTGGCCAGAGAGGCTCCCCTCAGATGAGCTCACCTCAAACCGGATCTCAGCCCGCGGGCGGCAGTCAGGGACAGGCGGGTAGCGCAGCGAGTAGTGTGTCGGTGAGCCAGGCTCTGGAGGGCAACGTTGTGGCGCTTTCCTGAACATGGCCAACTAGCAGTTGAGCTGGTGTTAAACATCGTTCAGATCGCAATGAAATGCGTTAGAGTTTGAAAGAGAATTGATGTGGGACGAGATCAAGTATTAGGTACTGTTGCGTAATTCAGCGAAGTCACTCGTTTGGTTGTTCCATCACGAATTGTTTTGTACCATGGATCCGTTGTTTAACTGTCAGATATTCGCAAAGCATAAAATATTGATCTATAAATAACACTTGATCTAACTGGACTAGCCGCTCTGCAATTCGCGTGTAACTAACGAGTTTTCACTGATGTGATGCCGAGACTTTAGCTTCTAAGCAATATTTCTCTGGAGGTAACGGAAAAACAAAGTATTGTGAGCGAAAGGCTCTCATGATGGCTTTGGAACGAAATAGACATACACACAGAGAGATATTGGTGGTATGCCAATTACGCATATCCACCGCAAAAGTCTTGAGGCTTCACCAGCATTTTTTGATCCTTGTGTCAAAGATGTCGAAATAAGTCCAATGGTTGAAGTTCAGACACTACCCATACTGTTAGTTTAGTATGATAGCTTGCCGCGATCAATCAAACTTCACCATATTGAGTTAAGGAGACTGAACCTCTCAATTCTATGACTTCCGGGAGTCCGTGGCCTGAATTGGTAATTTGTCTCATTGGACGAAAGCAAGTCTATTTCCGCGCCTAACATGAACCCGGTCTGTACTGAACTAAGCAGACCATTTCGTGTGTTCCTCTCTACGCCTAGCCCTGGGGAATATCCGAAACGCCGACGGCCGTCTAATAACAGTTCTGCCCACACTAGTGATCGAAATTCAACCCTCAAAGACAAATCAGCAACAAAACTCTGCTTGGCATATATAACTCCGTTACTGTGGCAAAGCTGATTCAGCAGCAACCAGCAATACGGTCAATCGGAAAAGCTGGTCTGTAACAATGGACACTGAAGTTGGCGATGGTGAAAGGGTCGATGTAATAAAGGAGGAGCTAAAGGTTGGTCCAAGTATTGATGTAACGCCGTATGTGGCGGAACCGTCTACCGAAATAGTTGGCGATGGACTTTCGGATGGAAAAGAAAGCGTAGGAGTGGGTGATGCCAACGTTGCGTCCGTTGCCAAGTTGTCTGTAACGGTTGCTGCATTCGTTGTCGATGCCGAGGCTGTTGATGACAGTGTGTTTGGCAAGTTCGTTGCGACGGATAGTGAAGTGAGGTCCGAGATTGGAGTCGAGCTCAAAGAACTCGTATCTTGGCTTGCTTGGATGGAACGGGACCCGGACGTCGTGCTTGTGATCAAGTCTAAAGACGGAGATTGCGTGATTGAAGAGGTTGGATTTGAGACGGAATCCACATTGCTTGTCAATGGGTTCGAAGTAGATGCTGATATTGATGTGAACGTCGTGTTCGCAAATGAACCAGTCAGAGAGACTGTCTCACTTGTTGACGATGGACTTATAGAAGAACTGCTGGTGGGCTCTGTGCTTTCAGAGGCCGCAACAGTCGTACTACCGAGGAATGTTGTACTGAGAGAAAAGGCGCTGTCCGTTATGCTACTTGACAGTAGACTTGTAAGATCCGAGGACGTGCCGCTCAAAGTGAATGTCAGGATCGTTGTTGAGTCAGAAGAAGTCAAGGTGACGAGTGTGTCGGTACTAGAGAACAGTTCGGTTGTCGAGCTGCTACTCAACGTGGGGATATCTGTCGATGAAAGAGAGGTCGTTGGTAAAACAGACGTCACTGAGGGGAGACTCGTTGATGACTGAGAGTTTGTCGACGATAGAGAGCTCACAGACGAGGCAAGACTGATTGAAGATGACAAAAAAGTCGAAGACGTCGTTCCTGTCGAAATTGAGCTTATAGAGGACGTCGAGGAGTCAGAAAAGATCGTGGAAAGAGCAGTTGTGGAAGTTGAGCTGCTCGATACTAGTGTCGTTGAAAGGGTGGAAGTCGTTGAGCTCAGGCTTAAAGAAGAAATTGAAGGAGAAAACGAATTTGTTGGAACACTGAACGTTGCTGGCTCAGTGCTTGACGTAGTGGTGTCAGCCGTAGACGTAGATGATGTGAGGAAAATTGAAGATGTAGAAGAGCTAGTCGTGTTTGCAAATGGACCCCCGGTTGATGTTGAAGAGAGCTGTGTATTGCTGGTCACTTCGATGCTGGTAGTTGTGAGGGACGAGGCCGTGATAGATTCGGAAGAAGTGAAAGAGGACGTCGGACTTGCGGTCGACGACAGGGACAAGAAAGAGCTTGATGAGCTTGCAGAAGAGGCTGACGAAGGGGTTGAAGTCGATAAGAAACTTGACGCAGTTGATGAGAAGGTCGACGTGGATGAGGTAGATGATGGAGTGGACGGCGAGGGAGATGAGGGAGATGATGAGGATGAAGTTGACGATGAAGTCGATAAGATTGAAGAGGAAGTTGAGGATGTGTCTGTTGTGGACTCTGAGCTTGTTAAAGAAATCGAAGAAGAGTCTGAAGACGAGGTCGACGATAAAGTCAAGGGTGAGGTTGAATCAGAGGCCGACGAGGATGATGACAGGGAAGTTAAAGAGGAAGTCGAGGGGGAGGAGATTGAGGATGGGTCTGTGGTGGACTCTGACGTTGATGCGATCGTCGAAGAAGAAGTTGAGGTGGTTGAGGATGAGTTCGAAAAGAAGGTGAAAGACGAAACTTCAGTGCTGGACTCCGAGTTCGATGACGCTGTCGACGACGTGCTTGATTCAGTCGTTTCCGTAGTAGTCGGAACAGGTGGAACCTCCCGGAAGCCAAAATACACGCTGTAGTGGTCTAATCCATCTGCAAACCCACCACAGCGAGCATTGTTGTTCCCACTGCAGCGAGTACTGCACATTTCCTCGGGGTCATAATAAGCATCTGGGTTATTGATGCCTGCCCGGCTGCACAGACACGTAGTTCCCATCAAAGCAGCGAATCTGCGTACCAAAGTAGAACATTGAGTTTGACAGCTTTCGGGCTCCACGTTGGCGTCATTTTGAATTGTTTCAAATTGTGCCATGTTCGTGATGACATAACATCCCAAGTAGCCCATAACGCCAGAGACTGGGAAGTTAATTTGGGCGTAAGTCAGCTCCGCGAGAAGCGACAATGTGAAAATCCATATCATAGCTAGCCGCATCGGAAGTCTGATGGAAGGGAATGAGTGTGGAGCGGTAAATCGAATCTACAGTTCTCAAAGACACCCAAGAAGCTAGAGAACCGGGAGAGACAGCTTAAGGTAGAGGACATGAAATGAGAGTGAGAAGCAGCGATTTGAATACAACAGCAGACGTGTTAGTACCTTCTGAGCGCGTGGACAGCTGCGTACTTTAAGACTTCTGGTCTGGCCTTGTTCCTTATCTTCGTCCCCATCACCATCACCATCACCATCACCATCCCTTATCCCTTTTCTCCAAACCCCGTTGAGAACTCGCGATGAAACATGACCTGAGCTGCCTTGAGCCGGAGGCGCAGGGCGATGGCTCACGTATAGCTTCCTCACCACCAGTCAATGACGATGAGACGAAGATTGGAGAGCAAACATTGGCTTCAGAAGCTCTTGGAAGGGAGTAGGTTCGAGGCTGGGAGGCTCGTCGGCCATCCCCTAGATTCTTTTGACGGGAAGCGGACCGCTGTAAGACACTGCCCTAGCCACGGTGTAACGGATCGTGTCACCCACACCTTGCACAATATCGAATCCGATCAAGGGCCGGGAAAAGAAAAACTAGCCAGTCCAAAACTCAATCAATCAAGATAAGCCGATGACCTTTCAGCCCGAAAAAAGGGAAACTCGGTCACCCGACTTTTTGCTCAAGGAGGTGTACTCCTGGTCCGACACACCCGGCTATCCGTCGCGTGTCGTTTCCGAGACAACAGCTATCCTCCGAACGTCTAAATACCCGTCACCAGCGCAAGCATGCATCCTTTAAGATGGGTTCTAGCCACCCAAGCCTGGACCGCAGATAGAACGCAATTGATTTTTCAGAGGGACGTTGAACACCACCTATGTTTCTCCTGTCAATTTAGCCTAATGGTCACATGACATGGCCGTCTCAATGAAATGTGATGTGTCGTACTCATGGTCTTAGATCCTCATCGTTGCTTGTACCAGATCAGCTTGGTCAGTCCAGACTCCCTCTTTATGGGACTCTTGGTCCATGCACCCCGCAAACCCGGAGCTTCCGGGGCCTCGGCTAGCTTCCCGGCAGCCCACAGGCTCCATAGAAAAGGCTTTTCGCCCCGCACCGTGAGCTTTCAACCTGGATTGAAGAATCAAAACTCAGGTCACGTCTGCATCCAGTCGAAGTTCACCTCATCCACAACAAATACGGAGAAGCTCTATGAGCAGTCGGCAATGAGAGTATGGAGAGACCTCGGCGATCGTTAAGGGACCGTGCGAACATTGTGTGTGTTGAATGTCACTCACGCAAAGTAAGCTACTTCCTAGCCAAAAGTATCTATATCTCTATTTCGACATGGAGCTGAGATAACACGAAGTACTTAGGTAAAATGCGACTTACAAGTAAGCCAAGATAAGACGTGTCGAAATTGTCGACGTGCCCAAGTTCCCTGCGTGTACGTTCGCTCCTTCATGGCATGCTCTCGCAACAGAGATGCTGACTAGCGAGAATAAGTCTCCGTAATGGAGTCCGGAAGAGGCGCCCGCGGGGGACTGATTTGGGCGAGGCCGGCATCAGAACGCCATCTGTTTCGTTGCCGGTGTCAGATCAGATGACCAGCCCGAGGAACAGCCCAACAGGAGAGGCAGTCAGCAAACTTTCAGAGACCAGCAGCAGTCTCCAGCGAGATATTGTTTGGAGACCTAGCAGCTTTATTGACAAAGGCTCCATCATGCACGACCCAGTCAAGACACCACCCAATGTCGTGCTAGACAATCTTGCTACTGGAAACGTTGGTGTAAATGAGGCGATTCTAAGAGTCACCGGGGCTAGCATTCTTCCGCACCCCGTCCTACTACAGGCTCTGAAGGACTCGTTCTTTGAGCACGTCGTATTTTACTACTCCGTGGTCGACCCCGGTGATGTTGCCGGCCCAAATGCATCTGTGCTTCTCCAGCAAGTAGTTTGCTTAGCAGGCGGCCTAATGCGACACGGAGAGGATAGCGTCGGTCTCGCGGGTTCGCAATACGAGAAAGCCAAAACGCTGATTCATATTGGCTTCGAGCCTGACCAGTTGACGGTGCTGAAATCTCTGTGCCTGATGTCATGCTGGAGCGCGTCTTCCCCCTACCTCGTCACGCTAGATGGTCCATGGCACTGGACGGGCATGGCTTCGCGAATGGCGCTTCAACTTGGTCTTCAGAAACAGTCATCATATTCCAATCGCCAGGGTGCTGGTTGCTTGCGGCGCATATTCTGGCATCTTCAGGTGAGCATCATGCATTTACTCTTCCTCAAACGCCGGCCAGAATATTGCTTTCAAAGAAACGTGATTAATGACTTGACGCAGACGAGTGAAATTCTCATGACAGCCTGCTGGGGTCGACCTCTTCTCCTCAGGCCTGAAGACACTGATGTACCGCCGATCTCAGAGGAAGACTTTTCAGTGCAGAACTTTGGCGCGATTGCTACAACTTGGATGACGAAGCTCATTCAGATCGTCGGGGTCATCACCACCCTAAAATCCAGGAAAGGTGGCCCAACGTCGGCAGAAGTCGAAGCTGTCGTCGCATCACTCTACGGCTGGCTGGCTGACTTGCCCGAAGACTTACGACTTTTCAACCCCGACGGCACCAGAAAGCCATTCAATCAACAACGCACTGAAACTTTCATCTTCTACTTCGTCGCCATCATCCTGACTCAGACGGCCAGCAGAAGTGCATCGCCGACGTGGAGAACTTCGCCGGCATCGGTCCTTGCTGCATCCTGTGCTGCTCGGCTTTATGACGAGATCCGATGCAGAGAGAGAGTTGTACACCTGATACACTACCACGCCTTCCTTGTATTAGCCGTCGGTGTTGTCTTAATATCTCATCAACCTCAATCGCAAGAGAAAGAGACCTTACTCCGCAGAGATCTTGATGTTATACATTCCATTCTTGAGGGTATGAGCCCCAAGTATGGAGGGGCTCGCGCTATCTTGCAAAAGTTTAAAGACGCGCCACGAGACTTTGGGGGTGACCGGGTCGATGAGTCCTCGTGTACGAGAAGCGACACGGCAGGCTCCCATACTTTGTCAACAGCAAAGATTGTGCAGCGCCATATGGGCGACCTATTTGCCTTTCCATCAGAAATGTGCGAGAACATGGATATCCTATCACAGAATAATGACACTGGAGACGAAGTTATTTTCCAGGACGATGCTCTTGGAAATTTTGGGCAGATGGGTGAGGATTTCGACGACATTAACTCGTTCATGGATGTACTTGGCATGGACTTCACAAATTTCGATGGCGCCAATGGCTAACGCCCCGGCTTTCACATGCCAGCGAACACCGGTTACCACTGGGTATTATACCATGATTCAATATAACTTCGGCCTCGATATTGCTTAAGGTCTCGCTGATGCGTAGGCCGGCATGAGTTTACCGACCTCGGCGCCATGTTCCCCAAAGGATAATTCTGAGCTTCCGGCAGTTCGGCTCTCGGCACTGCACCGTTCGCTCTTGTGTTCGGTTTCCGGGTAGAGATAGAAGCAAGTTTTAATATAGGTATTACCCCCTATTTAAGACCTAGTCGAGCTTTCCCTCTTGTTGTACTTAGGGCGCCTAGCAGAGAAGATCCCCAGCAGATCGGATTCAAGATTGAAGGTGAAATATTTGCTGCTTCCGTTACAACTACATACTTCAGACCACATACTAGCTTTCAAGAAAACCATCACGAATTCAAGACTGCAACAAGATCATGTCGGAACCTAGCGAAAGGCTGGTACAGGGTGCCCAAATGGCTCAAGCCTTCTTGGGGGCCAAACTTCTTAGCGCCATTCAAGAGCAAGCAGTAGGTAAACCATTACACTACAATACCGTGCAAGGGATAAAGCTGAGAGAAGAGTGATAGCGCGACGATCTTCCAAGCAAAGTCAGTGCCGAATACATTGCGGAAGTGTGTTTCTCTAGTTATGCTCGTCCCGGACTCGAGTTTAAGGAGAGGTCTCTGGTCAACATTGGCATGATGATAGCGCTCAACAGGACCCCAGAACTACGCATACATATCGCGGCAGCACTCAACCTTGGTATTTCTGAGGAGAAGATTGTAGAGACTTGCCGGCATGCGATGATTTACTGCGGCGTTCCGGCCGGCAGAGAAGCTTTGGCTGTTGCAAGCGATATTTTTGCCAAAGTCAGGGGTACCACAAAGGAAGAAAGAGCAAAGATGTCCTAATTGTACACGAAGATACAACAAACGTGAGCAGATTATGCAAGTTTCCATCCGATGGCAGGGACACTTGACAGAGACTCATCGAATCCAAGGCTCTGGAAAGGAATACTCATGCTGATTTCCGGTGTGCTGTTGCCCATGTAGTCAATCAACCAATGCAGCCATCATCGTTCCACCCCTCTCCAAAGGTGGGGAAAAAAGTCTGGTCTTACATGGCTTCAAATTAGGCGCGAGCTCAAATGAAGAAAATGCCTCTCAGACCTGGGTTGCTCACCGAACAACAGGATGTGACCTACCTTACCATATGATTAATAAACCCAATAAAGGTCTATTTTAGACAGAAAGATTGTAGAGATGCATCAAAGCACTCTACTTGGGATCAGGCGATGAAGCGGGGTCCTTTGAGAATTGATTCTCGTTGATCATGGTGCTGGCCTTAATGCGCACTTGGCGTTTGGGGAATAAGGGTGTGCCGTACCTGCTGCTATTCTCGGGACTAAGGTCGACTTGAAGATTGTGAAGTTTCCTTTTGAGGAACAAAAGGCTGACGTATCTCAGTTGGCCTTCATACAGCCTAGGAGGCACGAGGAGAGGAAGTCATCTATCAAATTCCTGGAGCAAGGTGTTGCCAAACACATGACGCGATTGACTCCTGATAGGTCTTGGATCTCGGATCATTCATGGCCGAATTCCGTATATCTCGTGCGAGGACATCACGTAGAAATACAGACTCTGACCAGCATGGGTGTTTCCGTGGATCATACACCGCCCGACTTGATGAATAGGTGTTAGAGCGCAAGTATTTGCGCTGCCGTCGAGACGGGAGGAAACAGACAGTAGATGCGGGGATTACGCTAGGACGAGCATGCTTAGGGTCGGGTGTAGTGACAGCGGCTTCATCCGCAAGAGATTACATGGGCCTTCAGGTATGGCGGAGTGTAAGACTTTCGTGGTCTTTGTATTTTCTTTTTCCAAGACTCTGTATTTGCCGAATCTTGTAGAGCGTTGACCCTGATTTTGCGGGGCATCGAGTGCCGAATGCCATGTGCCGAGTACCGAGAGTGCCGGCGCTTCTCTCCTAGACGTGAAGATGAAGGCCCACTATTGCTCGGCAACTCATGTTGGGTAATAAGCGATGCGATCTATTGACATCTAAGTTGATTGGGGTTGATTATGCCTACGGTGAGCATTCGACGCCGAATCCGAGGCATCATCGTGCTGGCAATCAAAGCAGTACGGCCTGTTGCTGTGATCATACCAGCACATTCAGGCGACATGCATACTCGTATAAAAGAGTTTTGAGTCCACTCCCATTTGCTTGGAAGCCTAGTGCGTGAAAGCTGCTTACAGGTCCCCCGATTGGCAAAGCGCTTTAACTGAACCAACGCCCTATCCCACTGTCCATCTGACCGAGAATCAACATGGCTTCCTCGCGCATAACTCAGATCAGCAAGCATCTCGGACCTGGGAACCCACGAACACCAGATCCCAAGCCTGCTGAGCCTTACATAGTCGTCGAACAACCCCTAGGAACAGCAAAAAGGGTCCGCATCATCACAATCGGCAGCGGCGCAAGCGGCCTCAACATGATCCGCACCTTTCGTCAGAAACTCACAAACTTCGAACACATTGTCTATGAGAAGAACCCCGAAGTTGGAGGTACTTGGTACGAAAACCGCTATCCGGGATGCAAATGCGATATACCCTCGCACAACTACCAATTCTCCTGGAAGCCAAATAAGGAGTGGAGCAGCTTTCTGTCTCCGGCGGAAGAGATTCAGGCGTACTTGTGCCGCTTGTGTGACGGTGAAGATCTACGGCGCCAGATCAAGACTAATCATCTCGTGACGGGAGCATTCTGGGATGAAGATGCTGGGCGATGGACGGTCAGGGTGAAGAATTTGGAGGACGGTGTGGAGTTTGAGGATCATTGCGAGTTTCTGCTGAACGCGAGTGGTATTCTCAAGTACGCAAACGCCTTTTGTCAACTCACTACGATTTTAATTCGAGTGCTGTTGCTGCTAACGCTGACCTTGGTACAGCAACTGGAAGTGGCCAGATATTCCCGGCTTGCACGACTTTTCCGGCTCCCTCCTTCATAGCGCCGACTGGGATGATAAGTTTGGCTGGAAAGGGAAAAGAGTCGCCATCATAGGCAATGGCTCATCTGGTGTTCAGATCGTTCCAGCTGTACAAAGAGGTGAGTTCTGGAAAGTTTCAGTTGCATGCCATGAAAAGACTGACCCAATAGGGAAAGACGCAAAGGAAATGATTCATTTTATTCGGGGACCAACTTGGATTATGCCGCCTCGGGTTCAGACATTGCTACTGGGCAAAGCAAAGCAAACGATGGAGCAGATCGAGTTGGACGATGATGAGAACTTCACGCCAGCTCAGATTGACAAGTTCAAGTCGGATCCTGCACTCTACAAGTCGTTCGTAAAGGCCATAGAGGAGCAAGTTAACAACAATTTCTTCCTCGTTGGTGACCCAAATCTTCCCTTTTCTGAACTCTCCACTAACTATGAGGCTCCAGGTATTAAAAGACTCGGAGACTCACCGACAAGCAACAGAGGGTGTCACTCGATACATGCAATCAGCACTCAACGACGACCAAAGACTGATAGATATCCTGATCCCCAAGTTTCCTATTAGTTGTCGTCGGATGACACCAGGTGTGGGGTACCTAGAATCGTTGACGAAACCCAATGCGAGAGTCATCTCGGGAGGAATCGCTCGCGTAGTCTCGGATGGCCTGGTTACAGCATCCGGGGAACACATTGCAGTTGATGCCATCGTGTGTGCCACCGGGTTTGATGTCTCGTTTCGCCCGCGGTTTCCCATTATTGGACGGCGGTCTATAAATCTCCAGGATATCTGGGCTAAGGATATCCCGAAAGCCTACATGTCTTGCGCGGTTCCCGAGATGCCTAATTACTTTGGTAAGTTCATATACGGTAGTATCATCATATACCCCTCACTCTGCTAACAGACAACCCAGTCTTCCTCGGTCCAAATGCCCCAATCGGCCATGGCAGTGTCTTCACGATAACCGAGCTGCTCGCAAAATACATCGCCGGCATCATCAAGAAATGCCAAACTGAGGGCATCAAATCCATCAGCCCCAGCCTCGACGCAGTCAATGAGCTTCACGAACATACCCAAGCCTTCATGCCGCGAACAGCGTGGGCAGGGTCCTGCAGGTCCTGGTTCAAAGGCGGTGCTGTGGATGGACCCGTCACGGCGCTGCATCCCGGGAGTAGAATCCACTTTTTCCACATGTTGGAGAACTTCAGAGGCGAGGACTGGGATTATGTGTATGAGAAGAAACGAAATCGGTTTGCGTATCTAGGGAATGGGATATCGACGAAGGAGCTTGATGGGTCTGATTCAACTTGGTATCTGAATGATCCTGATGGTGATGAGAGGTAAGGTAATATGAGTGAGATCTTGACGATGCGTGCACATCAGTTGGGTTTCCTTCTTCTCTCTACCTTAGCTTCTACGTTTCAACTGTTGCAACCACCATCAGTAAAGACGGTATTACTTGAATGAGGAGTCCCTTGTACAGTTCAAATGATCTTCAATAGAAATCCCATTGTCTAGAAATTGCTCGCGGCAACCTTGTGTCGCTAGCTGATCCACTTTGGCTTAGAGCCGGGATTGAAAGGGGCGCCAACCGGCATTCGGTACATGTGGGATCTCGGCACACAAAGGCGTCCGTTCAGCTTACGAATCGAAAGCTTCAAATCTCAAAGTCAAACATCAAGGGAAGCCTCTTGAATAAAGTCCAGACGGTCCACGGCTCAATCGTTACCTCTGACAATCTGTGGTGTATCAGACCTATCAATCACCTCCAACACAACCTCCAACATGGGTACAGACGCACAGAAGAGGGTCAGCCTGACCTTCCTCTCAACCGGCTCAGTCCGCATCAAACTCCCCATGAAAAGCCAACCGGTAAAATCCTACCTCGACCAATTCGTCACCCTGCGCCGCTTCCGCTGCATCGCAAACCGCCAATGGACGGAACCCCTCCCCATCGGCGTCTTCCTCATCGCCCACCCAGGCGGACCAATCCTCTTCGACACGGGCGAGTCTCCCTGCTTCAACGACCCGGGCTACCTCCCCTACCTATCCCCGACAAAGATGTTCAGCAGCGTGGACATCAAGCCTGAAGACGGAATCGTGCAGCAATTGCAGCGTCTCGGTGTGGAGCCCAGCGATCTGCAGGCCATCGTGCTGAGTCACCTCCACGGCGACCACGCTGGCGGATTGAAGGCTCTGAAAATTGCTGCGCCGGACGTTCCTGTGTTCGTGAGCAAGGAGCACTGGGCCGCTTTTGGGAATAGCCCCATGACCGCGACGCTTGCGGGGTGCGTGCCACAGCACTGGCCGGAAGGATTCCAGCCTACTCTTGTGGATTTCTCGGCCGGGGCTGTGGGGCCGTGGGAGACGTCTGGCCGGATCACGGCTGATGGGAAGGTTGTGGCGGTGCATACACCCGGTCACGTCCCCGGCCACATTTCGCTAGTCGTGTATGGCGATAACGAGGACGGAACAACATCGACGTACTGCTTGCTTGGGGACGCGAGCTATGGTATCGATTTGCTGGATAAGGAAGAGCCGGATGGTATCAATGACGACCCCATGTCGGCGTTGGACAGTTTGCGGAAGATCAAGGCCTTTGCGAAACAGAGTGATGTGGTTATTCTTCCTAGCCATGACCCGGATACACCTCGATTGCTGAAAGAGCGGGTGTTGTACAAGCCACAGGATGTTTGAATTCGGATGAGAACGGGTGCGAAGCACATGTAATACTTAAGCAGATAATGTCTCAATACAGATTCACACCTCACAGAACCATGGCCGATTAAATGGCGGTGATCCCAGCCATTGATCTTTTGCTACACAGGAAATGCTCTTCAAGTATTATGGTACAAGTCGTAGTCCACCGAGACGTCTTGATGGGGGTATCAATTGTATGGATCCGGAGACGAGTCCCTTATTTGGCGTCCTTCTTGGCCTTTTCGGCAATCTCCTCCGCCTTCTTCGACTTAGCCTCAAGGACTTTCTTTACCTCCTCAATAGTCTCCTTGAAGAGCTTCTCTCCCTCCTCCTTGTGCTTGTCTGCGACCTCGCGGAGCTGCTTCAGCTTGGGGATAATCTTGTCTCCGTCGGGGATCATCTTAAAGTATTGATCGAGACCAAAGCTCTCACCGATTTGAGAGCCCTTTGACTTGGCCTTGTCGACGGCATCGGTGACATAGCTCTCCAGGCCTCCAAGGTCTCCGGATTCGGTAGCCTTCTTCGCCTTCTCGAAGAGCTCCTTGGCGTTGCCCTTCTTGAGCGCGTCGGCATTCTTCTCAATCAGCTCCTTGACCTTGGGGTTCTTGTCAAGGTAGGGCTTGGCCTCCTCGAGCGCCTTCTTCCAAGCCTCATCGCCGAGCTTCTGAACCTGCTGAATCTTCTCCTCGATGAGCTTCCGCACCTTGTCGAAGTTGCTGGCAGTGAACCCGCCAGCCAAGACGTCCTTGACTTGCTTCCATGTCTCGTCGACCTGCTTCTTGGCCTCGGGGCCGTACTTGTCTCCCAAGTCCTTCAGCTGGTCAATGTTTCCTCCAAGTTTCTCCTTCAGTTGAGGGTGGTTGTCGACGATGTCCCCAATGGCGTCACCTCCAAGGCTTGCGAGCTTCTGGGTGATGTCTGCGAGGACCTCGTATGCCTTGTGGACGGCCTCCAGGCTCAGGCCGGCCTTGGCAACCTCCTGGAACTGCTTGTAGGCGTCATCAACAATCTTGTCGGCCTCTTCCTTGTGGTTCTTGCGGACAGTCTCGAAGTCATTGAAAGCAGAGTCGACGTAGGAGCGGCCACCAGGGATCCAGCCAACGTAGGAGTAAGCGAACTGCTTGATGTAGTCGATAGCTTCATCGGTAGAGGGTGTGTTTTCTTGCAGCTTCTGGGCGGCGGCTGTGTACTTCTTCTCGGCCTCCTTGGCGGCCTTGTTAACCTTGGAGGCAGCGCGACCAGCGGGGGTGAAGGAGTAGAGGGCGTAGAAGATACCAGCACCAGCAAGGCCACCAGCGACACCGGCTCCGAAGTGAGAGCTGGTTCCGCCTGTTGAGGATGAGGCGGTCGTCGACTGGAAACGGAGCTGCTGGCGGGGTGCGCGGACAGCCCGGGTAACTCTGGGGAGCGTCGAGCGAACGAGGGGTCTTGCGGACATCATCTTGGCGGTCTGGTGAAAGGATGGTATTATTATGGCAAGTTGTGTACAGTTGGAAGGATCAACGACTTCAAAGTTGGGAGAATTGAAGGAGGAAAGGTTGGAAGATGGTATCGGGAAGTAGTAAGTCAATGGGAAAATTGGGAAAGAAGAGAGCAAATAGCAGATTTTGAAGGGACGAGAAAGAACTCTCAATTGCCTCCTCCCTCTCGCCTATGGCTAGCGTCGGACCGGCGACGGAGGACAAATGGGCAGGGGCGAAGCTCGTCACACGTGCTTCAAACGCAATTGGAGTCGAAATGACGACGGCAGGTGCAGCTGAAGACCAAGGCGAAGGAGCTCCTTCCGCCTGCCGGACTCGCGCCAACCATACCCCTGTCGCCCCTGCCATCTGCAAAGAGCTGAAAAGTGACATGGCAAGTGCCAATGGCCTGGGAGAGTGGAGGAAGAAGGAGGAACCAGACCGGGCTGGAATGAAAGCTCCGGCGTCAATGACCGGGTGATGACGTCGAAGGCGTTCGTCGCCAGGGGCAGCTTCTTCCCCAATCACGATAGCTACCCCGCATGAGGGGGACATGGATGTCCCCAAATGTGCGGGAGATCGGCGATCAATCGCTGCGGGGAAGTTCTCCTCCAGCGTGGGCCTTCCTCGTCATTGTGATGAACTGCTCAGGTTAATTCGGATGAAGGGTACAAATTCGCGTGAGAAAATTGTCAGGCTTTGCCGGCAACGAAGCTATTTACTCTTTGCTCTTTCTGTCCACAGATGGTCAATTGTGCAGAAACCTTACCGAGGCCCAAAAACAGTCTCTCCGTTGTCTCCTCCAAGTAGTGGCCAAGTACCCCACGTGACCTTTTGATTGATCTTCCAGCCGCCAGGTTAACAGCACATCATCACTTGATGAGGCCCAAATAGCGCTCGAATGACAGTGAATACCCAAACATATTAGATTGGCTGTATATACCAGTGCAGAAAGGCGTCGATGAGAAGTGAGTACCTTACCTTAAGGGACCTTGGGTAAGTGAAGCAGTAATGAGGGTAAAAGGAGGAATTAGAGAGAGGATTAAGCCCCCTACCTAGACAATGCCTTTGTCGCAAATTTCAGGTTGGACTTTTATCAGCCAGGTTTGGTTCTCTTCCTAGATACCTGGTAAATAAGACTTGAGGAACTGGGGATATGCGCGATAACGCCCGGACTTTTGCTTCGGGACAGCAACACCGAATGTGGGTAATGAGTGCCGGCTCACGGCCGGGATAAGTGGGGATTGTGTCAGGGAATGAAATTCACGAGCAGCACGCGAAGCAACGACACAGAGAATGATGCGCTTCTTGGTTCCATGTGAAAGAACTTATGTAAGCCTAGGTTTGATGAAATTGAAGTAATCTACTTGTAATCTAACCTACTATACCATGGCAGAGAAATCCCGCAGGTCAGGTTGACTTACGTACCAAGCATCTGGCACACTGACATAAGATTTCCCCCTCCTTTCTACAACTCTGCCACTCCATCGAGTGAACATCTCATTAGAACCTATGACTCATAGGCGCGAGCGACTTCAACCTGTACTTCCGAACTTTGTATTCTATTGCGCCCTCAAGCTCGTTGCGTTGGCAGCCAGGTTCTTCTGGAAGAACTGGGTGAGCTTATCGAAGGGGATAAGCTCCACACGATCGTAGAGATCAACATGTCCCGCACCAGGAACCCAAACGAGCTCCTTCGGCTCAGCAGCACGTGCGTAGGCATCCTCACTGAACTCGCGGGAGTGAGCCTGGTCGCCCGAGACAAACAACAACGGGCGCGGCGAAATCGTCTCGATATCGTTGAATGGGTAAAAGTTCATAAACTTGGTGTTGCTGGAAAGAGTAGGGTGGGTAGTGAGGTTCGCTGTCGTGTTCTCCGGAGTAAACTCGCCGCGCTGGGTACGATAAAAGTCGTAGAACTCACGATCAACCGCCGTCGACGCGTTGGTCAGCACGTGGAGGGTTCCGCCAGTGTACACAGTTTCGCCGCCAGCCGCCTCGATCCAACGCTGCGCGGCAGCAGCAGCAATGATCTCCTTGCGCTGCTCGAGGCTCACTGCGTGGCGCAAGCCGTTGCGGGCGGCAGATCCCATGTCGTACATGCTGGAGGTCGCGATAGCCTTGAGACGGGGGTCAATCTTGGCAGCGCTGATGACGAAGCTGCCGCTACCGCAGATGCCCAGACCACCAATACGTTCACGATCAACGAAGTCTTGGAGGCCGAGATAGTCGACTGCTGCGCTGAAGGCCTCTGAGTAGAGGTCTGGCGAGACGGCGTTGCGTGGCTCGCCTTCGCTGCCGCCCCAGAAGGAGACATCGATGGAGACCGTGACAAAACCTTGCTCGGCGAGCTTTGTGGCGTAGAGGTTGGCGCTCTGCTCCTTGGTCGCGCCCATGGGGTGGCCGACGACGATGGCTGGGGCAGAGGGTGAGCGGCTGGCGTTGTTGCGAATGAAGAGGTTGCCAGCGACGGCGAGCTGGTTCTGAGTTGGGAAGGTGATTGGCTGCACCGTCACGATGTCGCTGCGGTAGAAGTTGTCGGCCCCATAAGACAGGTTCTGAGCGGACGCTACCTTCGTGCCCGCAAGGGCGAGTGCAGCAGTGCTACTTCCAGAGATCTTCATGATGTTTACCTTATGTAAGGTGGATTGATGCGTAAGGTAGTGACAGAAGCTGGTGATGAAGATACTATGATCTGGTTGAAACTAAGTCTTTTTCACGGTGCTCCTTCTCTGATTTATAGTCAGCGTTGTGGAAACTGTTCTGTTGCGATTTACCATCATGGATTGCCGTTGATGTCATATTCGAATGAGGCAGTTCACCATCCGAAAGGGCCGATATCATCAAGGTGCCACGCGTCAGCCCCAGACCACAAGTCTTAAGGTCTCAGTCACTTAAGCATGATTGGTAATGCCGTGTGCGTCCGAGTAGAAAGTAATTACGATATACCTAGAGGCCCCATTTTCGGCTGACATCGCCAGATGCTACCAAGGCTACCCCTGGTCGCCAACTTACGACTGGGTCAGTCACCAACAGCGAGCATACGCTAAGCCGGGGCCGTCATATCGATAAACTTCTCTACAATCTTCTTTGGATTTGGTCACTGGACTGGTCTTCCTTGATGTTAACTGAAGACTAACCGCTGAAGAAGGCACATCAGAGTCTCATCATTCAGACAATAGACTTCATACACCGAAAACATGCCCTTTGCCAGATGAACGAGGGACGAACAATTTCGGGTAGCCTAAGGGGTACGACTATTCTTTGAGCGCAATAGAACACTAGCAGGGGCGGGCTAAGTTCGGAATGCCGTCAGTGTCATCAAGCTGCATCAAAATTTAAACTCAAGATCCTTGCCGAACGGCAGGGTATCACAGCCAAGCTTAAATGTCATCCGGCTGCATTAGCGTCGTTTGATTGTGGGGATGTGCTCAAAAGAGCACTGCCACCTTGCACGGTTACGTCTTTTTCGACAAAGGGCGAGGTTATCAACTATCTGTTGCAACCATAATCTACCTTATAACCTTCCTTACCTATGTACCAATTGAAAGTTATACCAAGTTTGCAAGGATACAATCACGTAACCTCGATTTTGCTTGTCCAGGTCATATCATCGGCGTTTCCATCTTGGAGTGTGGATTCTCACTCCTTTCCCTCGCTCTTGTGCGGACCTCAAGTTTCCCAGTCCCACCGTAGAACTTGTAGCAAACTCGGCCAACGATCCAGCCATAGGATATTTTTTGCATTATCCAATTCCTGGCACATGGGAGAAATCTATTCTTAGTTGCATACTAGCGATGAAGGACAAGCCGACAGGTTCATAGGTCGCTTGAATAGTGGCGGTCATGGCTCGTTGAGTCGATCAGGTCCACCGGCATCACCGCCACATGACAAAGGCCTCGACTGTACCCTTCCGCACACTAGCGAGGGCGAATTTCCACGAGATAGACAGCTCCTCCAACGGATGGAATAAAGGCACTCATATAACTGCCAGTCTTAATCACCTCTCAATCATATGCTACGTGTATGGATAGGAAGTTTACAAATAAGAAGGCTGTTGTCAAAATATCCAATATTCCCTTAACCCCCTTGGTCCCCGCTCCCTCGCCGGCACCTCCGCGATCACAACGGAGGTGCGTTCGGGTCCTCCATACACTGATCAATTCTCATAATTTGCTTACCAGTAGCCTTGGCCTGCCTGATGAACTCCGGGAAGTACTCGACCGTTGTGTTGTACGAGAAGTGCATGACCACCAAGTTTCCTCCCCTGGCAACGTCGGCGTTGAATGAATCAACCTGCTTCTCTGGCGTGCTCGTCTCGGCCCACAACCAGTCCTGCACATCGACGCTCCAGTTGATAAGGTAGGCCTTGTCTGATCCGGAGGCAGCCGCCCAGCGTTGACGCATGCGCGCGCCTTCGACGCCGTACGGCGGGCGGAAGTAATTTGATCTCTCCCCAAAGAGGTTCGTCATCACCCTGTAATCTTCGTTGTACTCCCAGTCGATGCTCTCAGTGTCGGGCAGCCCTTCCATTCTCGGATGAGTGTAGGAGTGCAGTGCGATCTGGTGGCCCTCGCTCTTGAGCTGTTGGTAGAGGCTGGCCATCCCAGTCGAGGGGTTTTCCAGCACAGCGCCGACGGCAAAAAAGGTCACTTTTATCCCTGCGTCGCGGATGATTTGAGCTAGTCTGGCGGCATATTTTGGGTTTCCGTCGTCGATGCCGAACGCGAAAGAGTTAGGCCGCGTGCAGGCAAAGACAAGGGTTCCTGAGGGCAGCTTTTGGCGGATGCTCACCCCTGAAGGGATGGAGGGAACGATCTCAACCTTCGTGAGAACCACTGGCTCAGTGCTGTAAATGCCCCTAATAGCAATACTAGCGACACGCTGAAGGTTGATGTTGAAGTGCGAGATGGGGATGTAGATGTCGCTGCTCGTGGTCGCGTACCGACTTGCTTCCAGGCTGTCTCTCGTTTCAGGGTATGGTGCCACACCATCATTGCACTGCGAGTTGTGCTGTTGCAATGAAATGGAGAATTTGGTATGACCGGAGTAGGTGATATGTAAGTACGATCCACTTTGACTGCGCAAATCCCGACATCCCCCGCTCATTAGGCTGGTGAAGGCATAGTCTGGAGCTGAGGCAACAATTGTGACGTGGTTTGAACCCCAAGTAAGATCCAACTCATCGCCACCGTGCCAGAACCCAAGGGAGTTCGTGTTTGCGTTGGCAAAGGTGTCAATCACAAGCCCAGAGACCGTAGCAGCTGGTGCCGGGACAGTTTGAGTTGGCCCTGTTGGGGTGGTGGCCGTGGGCACTACCCAACCAGTCGGGGTGCTTCCGCAGTAAAGTGCCAGCGGGCCTAGTGTGATGGGGCGTGTCGGCGCTTCGATAACGATGGATCGCAGTTTGCTGAGGTTGACTCCGCTGAATTTTGACCAGGGGAAGCTGTAGAGCTTCTCGGTTCCGTCAAAGGTCCAGCCCAGTTGCGCAGTTGTCTGAGATGAATACGCTGTCACCTCACCCTCACACGTCGTCTTGGAAGTCAACTCGATCTTGAATGTTGTCCCAGCCGGAGCATTGATCCGAAGTGAGATCCCACCATACTTCGAAGCATCCAAGCATCCGACCTGAGTGAAGAAATACGAAGAAGTGTCCTTCGGTGTCAATATAATATGATGGTTGCTAACGACCTTAGACTGCATTGTTCCGTCATCTCCTGTCGGCAGCAGAAGCGAGTTGTACTGCAAGAAATCGAGGCGTGATTGTGACGCCCAGTCATCTACTAGAAGCGCCGAGCATGATGGGTTGTTCGACTGGGTCGGAGATGGGACCGAGCTTGTAGGGGCCTGCGTGACCGTAGTAATCGTAGTGACTGTGAGATTGATGTCAGCAATAGGCGGGATGATGTCCGGACTGATCCCAACCCGACTAGTTATCACTTACAAGTCGAAGTTGCTGATGACCCTTGAGCACAGACAAACGATATCTTGTCAAGCTGCCATTCCTGGGTAGACGAAAACGACCCAACGACAAACGACAAGGCGGCATTGAGATTTCCGGCAGCAAAGCTACTCAATGGAATGCGCAGCGTCTGCCAGCCGCCGGTCAGACCTGTGACTCGGAAAGACGTTTTTGAACTAGTCGTCGCTGAGCAGCTTGAGGCGGAGTTCAACTCGGTTGTGAAGGCTGCGCCTGACACTGGTGCTTTGATGTCAAGCTGGACGTGTGTGTACAAGTCGGTCTGTAATGCTTGGCAGGGGAACGTCTCGTAGTAGTACGCACCGCTCTTCGGAGTGAAGCTTAGAATACCACCAGTCGCGGAAATGCTGGTCATGCTTGCATCATCTATCGAACATCATGTTGGTCATTTGAGACTCTTGGACAGCTGTTTTGTGGAGATCCATTGGCAATTCAACCCGAAGTATCGGACGCACCCGATGAATTTGTGGTATCTTACCTGAAGTCCATGAGCCGAGATTATTTCTGTTCGTTGTGAATGAGCTGGAGAAGTCGTCCACGAGGAGATCAGATGTACAGGCAGCGGCAACAACAGCTACTACACCGTAGGCACCAGCCAAGAAACTGTGAGCCTTTAATTGCACCATCTTGTGCGAATCTATCAGCGTCTGGCTCGAGTTCTTGGTAACGAATGTAAAAATGGGTGTCCCTGTCCACCAGATGAGCTAACGACCAGAAGTTGCGACGACCGGCGGAGCACCTCCATTCTATATGCCATTCATATTACAGTCAACATGTCGAATTTTCGTGTTGAGTTGCGCCAGGCTCTTGGCCGCAGAAGCCCAGGTTGCGTGTGGTTCGATGCAACTACACTCAGCTGAAATTTCATGCGACTCGGGCACAGAGGATGCCACTGTGCAGGAGCATAGATGCGGGCCGTGGCGTCACTCATGCGTTTTCCTCAGGTCCGCTAGAAAACGTTGACCTCTCACAACGGAACTTGGCGGTCGCCAAATGTTCAATGTCCCCCCCGCTCGCGGGCCGGGCCAGGGGGAGCTGAATACGGAGAGGTATACGTCGAGTTGATGGCGTTTTCCAGACCCCGCGGCACCGCATTATACCCCGGGCTCCCACCCATCGGTGTCGTGCGTTCTCTTTTTGGAAGCCCGGGCCGGCGGTCCAAGGTTGTATTGACTGCCTCTTAAAGCTCCATCCGCGCTCACAACCTTGTGCGTTAATGGTCAGTTTCATCAAACTGTTGTCAATGTGGAGTCGGTGAGCCTCCAAGCTTATGTGAGCATGCCAGGGCGCTAGCAAGCAATAGTCTCGCAATACGATGCTTGGCGCAGCCAGAACTGGTGGGATTTCCACCCGGTGAATGAAGCCATCGGGGATGAAAAGGCGAGACATAACAACGCGTGATGTGATATGTATTCGTGATTGTGCGACAAGTAAAATCTTCATGCTTCATCGAGTATAGAATTGGAAAAGAAACTGAAACGGCGCGTTTTCGTCAAACGAAGGTAAACAGGCTTTCAAGGCGCAAATTCATCCCGGACACATGTTACGTTTTGCAGTTTCCTCTTCAGGAAGGTGGCGATGCCAACCAACAGCATTTGATATTAGTTCACTGCGGGGGTGAACAGGAACCTGAAGTTTTCAACGGCATTCATTCGTAAGGTCCCTTAGGCACATGTATTGGCATGAAGATAAATCAGGTATCTCATGTAACTTGAAGCATTTTGAAAAGAAACAGGATAAAATACGACAGACTACCTTGGTCAAGACTGTTGGATACGTGAACCTTCGATGTTATTACCACTAGAGCTTCGGAAGGCCAAAGAATACTGTTGCGACAGCGACACAATAACACGAATTCTAGGAACGCCTATTACGACCAGAGAATACTAGTACACCACCACTTTCATCATCGCTACCACCGTTTGTCCCCTGAGCAGCGACACTACAAGTGTCTTCAACGTTGCTAGATACATGTATTCTTGTCGCGACAGAAGGGTAAACACGGGGGTGCACGTGAGACGAGATGGACAAGCCTCCGATGCGGGACGACAGGTCATCTAAGGTGACTGAGATGCCAGTAAGCGACTGACATGTCGGCATCGACGAGTACGTGTTAGAGTCGAATCTCTTCCTCACACATACTTTCTCCCTGAGTGCAGTGAGAGCGTCTTCGCGAACCTTAACCAAAACCGCATCAATCATTTTGTCTTTGTACCGTGAGGTTTCTCCCTCTACCAAAGCATCGGGAACAGCCCAGTTTCGGTATACGTTGCGGTGAGGTGAGCGAACTCTGACGCCGCTGCTGTGAGCAGCGAAATAGTACTCGCAAAGTCGACAGGTGGGCTTGCTGCAACCGATATATTTGTTGCCCTCGTAGAAAGGGACGGAGTGCATGTCCTCTGCAAACTGTTTGCGAAGCCAATCTAGAAGAAGGACCTCACTGTGCACAATCGGTCGGAAACCTCTGGGGTTGGATTTGCAGCACTGAGTCGCGATCAGCTCATCGAGCTTGCACACTTGGAGCTCGTCCGCGTATTGACTATAAGTCTCAATCATCTCCGCATCTCCCGTCATTCGCGGTATTAAGTCGTGCGCGGAGCGGACTGTTTGTCGCTGTAAAGGGTCGAGGCCGGCCTGGAATGCGTTCATCGGGTTGGGCAGTGGCCTGCTTGAGGGGATAAACTTGATCTTGATGCTGTCAATGTCGAAAAGCTCTGGGTGACGCCTTCGCGCCACGAAGATAGTCTGAGTCGCTCTCAGGTAAGAGACAAGGCGACCGATGAAATGTTGTAGTTCAGCCCAATGTGGTGATTCGTCAAACCTTCCCAGTTTCCCTCTGTCGACGATGGAATGATAGATCAGTGATTGTCGTAGATCTGCAGCTGCCCGGACAAGTGCCTCGTCGTCTTGCGAGGTTTTCTCTGCAAATGGTCGATTAGTTGGGCAAGATTCACCAAGACTCCGATTACGGAGAGTTTTTATCATTACCTGGAGGAGAGGTGTTTCTAGATGAGGTCATTGATCTGTCGGCCACGCTTTGAAGCCTCAGCAATGCTTGTTTGACCGTAATATCTCCAAGGGGTATTAGAACAGCAAGTCATCTTTGAAGTTAAAGACTCACCATGGACAGATCCACGCCTATCGCAATCTTTAATGCACTGTGTGAGCCCTTGGACCAGACCAATGCGGTAGCACTGGACTCGCTCATGATTGAAGGCCAAAATCTTTTCTAGTACGTAGGTGGCCGATTTCGAAGTGGCCTCTTCCATAAGAACTGATGAAGTTGCACTTGTGTTACTCAAGTATTCGAAGAGATCCAGAAGAAATGTCTCTGCTTCCTTGATCTCTTTGGGAGATCTCTGGTTGGATGCAAAGGCATAGACCAAACAGTCAGGTAACTGTATGATGGCCACAGATGTGACAGTTTCGCCTCCTCGTCGATTGTCGCATATCTGCGCCAGCTTATTCATGAGGCATTCCTGGGTCATTCTATAATCATCTCCTGGTTCAGAAACATCGCTCGGAGCTTTGTTCGGCTGTTGTCCATTGCGCGAACAAGCCTGCATCAGACTTGAAAGCAGTATCAAGGCTTCGTAGAATCTGTTCAGCCTTTTGCAAAGCTCTAGACTGATGGGGTGATCCAGGCCGTCGGCCGTCACCATTTCTGTTAATTTGGTATCAGGTTAGTCGAAGCTTTCGCAAGAATTGGGATGACGATATCCCACTTCGCCCCGATCCCCTAGCAGGACTTCGCATCGTGGATTTCCCTTTGGCCATTGGAATTAAACTAAGAAAAGGAACCTGATCAATCCGAATAGTACGTTGCCAAGAGTGTAGGTACTTGGCAATACGTCAAGTGAGGAGCTGGCTATATGCGCTGTCCGCACTACTTGAACATGAACAACGCGTAAAATTCTTTCAAATTCGAGGGGATCTTGATTGTTTAAGCAAAGTGTGCAAGAGATCACACATGGCACCCAAAGCATCATTCAGGACGCTCACAGCGGCCCAAGGGGGACAAACATCGCCGAATAAGCGCAAAACTTGACAAAGTAATAGTCGGAAAGAAAGTCCCGCGCGCATTTGCGCTAGTCGCCAACTCGCAACCTAGGTTGTTGGCCGTACCAACATATCCCACAGATTTGCTGACAGCCAGCTGTTCATTTTGCAGCCACACTCATTGATCAAGAGTCACTAGGGTGCAGCTGATTGCATAAAAAGTGGGAGGCCGCGGAGGCCAACAATCGAGCTTCTGAGCAATGATTGGCCCTAAGGTTCACATACCACATGTCGGGTCTTGCTGTTGAACCATGGTGTCATTCGAGCCAGGAGAAGCGACTGCTAATGCCCAAGGCTGGTAACATCCTTTGAGGCATATTGCAAGGCGTCCTGATGTCACCCCGAATATCTTCTGTGGCTTACTTATCTAGTTAGGCAGCAAACCGGTCGCCTGAATGTTCCAACAACTTTGAGGCCTCAGTAGAGCCTTCCACTTCATGCTAATTGGTCAACGTGATCGTGAGGATGGTTGGCCTCCCGCATCCTGACCTGCAACCGGCTGCAAGTACGTTAGTCCCATCTCATCGAGCCATCCGCATACGACAGGTTCACCGAATTCTTTCTCCACTAAGACGACGTGCTTTGGACGTATAGGCAACACTCTAGCCAATCTTGGCAGCATGCGCAAGTAGTGCCGCTTGGGTCGAACGTCGGGCGATGAATGATTCGCTGCTGGAGGGAACATGTAACGAGCATGTCTAGAGAAGTTGGAAGAACAAGAAAGAAGTGTAAAAGCCGAATTCCTCTAATCAAGCTGTTCAAAATTACATAGATATTCGATCTCTGAAAGATGCAAATACTTTAAAAGGGGCCTCTATTTCTGGTCAAATCCACCACAGATGGCACTATCCACGCTTTCATGTTGAATTCGATGAGTTGAGCGCAGTCTTCTTTTCCTGGCATAGTAGTTCATGCACGCTATCCATCGCTGTATCATCTCAACTTGTCTGAGAAGACTTGTAAGTATCGGAAGATAAATCTGTGATAGGAAATCTGTGAGTACTGACTGACACATTTTCACAACGTTTCTCTGAATTGGGTGTCAAACTCTTTGGTTCTGGTTGCGGATACATGTATTCATCGCTGTGGAACCGCGAAAACACTGCGGGAGGCTTTTGCTAATAACACCTCGTCAGCTTGAGTTCGATATTATCCGCCGGGCAAAGATTGATTGTTTTGGTACCTTATTTTGGACTTTCTTTGGGGCACCCAGAGGTATGTAATCTTCGATAAGTCAAGACACTGCTGCCGCGGTTGTTTAACCAAGTTTGCTCTAGGTCACGTACAGAGATACGGAAGAGAGAGCCTGCAGAATCATCTGAGTACTGAATACTGCCCCGAAGACCCAAAATCAAGTTCAAATACTGTCATGCCTCGAGAGTCTCAACACAACGGAACCTCTCGGGTAACCCACGACTATTCTAGGGCCAATGAGCCATGGGGTTGGCTGCCCACCACTGGTGGTTACGTAAACGACGCCTACGCCCCTACTTCTGACGATCCCATCGACCCTTCACTGTTATCTCACACGCAAACGAGCTCGTTCAGCCCCAATTATTACGCCGCGCAATCTGACTATCAGTCTCCTGGAGCCGCATCTCAAGCGCTCTAGGCGTTTCGGGGTGGATCTTCGCACGGGGTCAGTTCCCACCAGCTACCATCACAGGGATTAGACGTCTGGAACGGTATGGACGCCGAAATGTACGCTCAGGAGGCGGTCCAGACCTCCCTGCATACCGCCGCCGCTCTCCCTCTTGAGTCTAATCCTCCACAACAACCGCATCAACTTCCTTTCGTTTGTACCGGGGACCCAAACTGTACTAGAAGCTATGAGAAGAAGCATGAGCTCAAGTAGGTTCATACACCTCACTGCTTTCATGCCTGCACGGTGTCGCTGACATTAGATCTTCAGTCGCCACATGAGGAAGCATAGCAAGCCATGCGCTTGTACAGTTGAGAATTGCACTGCAAGATTTGCGGATAAGAAGGGTTTGGACCGACACAAGGCCACTCATGGCATTGGAAGGGATGAATTTGATTGTCCTGAGTGCACCGAAACATTCACAAGGGCCGATAACCTGTACCGCCATCGGCAAAAGCAACATCAATTCATGGGTTAAAGCGGCTTTGCTTTTGCTACGGATTCATTATTCAGGCAATGCGTTCGTATTGCTTTAAATATTTTCTTATAGTGCGCGTTCATAAATTTGATATGTTGACCATGACGTTGCTACCTGAAACTCGCCTTGAATATTTTCAGCTCTCCCAAGCCATTTTATGAATATCCTGGATGCTGGTAATGAGGCAATATAAATATTCACATTGAGATATTTTCCCAAACTTCGTGAAATCTCGATACCCCTATGTAATCCATTCATTCACATTAGATTTCAAGTTCTGATCCCGTTGCGCGTTCAGGACATAGTCAGCCCGGTCAGAATGATGCTGTTCTCTCTGCTTGAGTAGCTCCCACTTGACGTCCTCACCCACCAGCAAACCCGTCTTGGAGTTAATCAAAACCATACTTTGTTTAACTTGACTTAGAAGGACACCTAGACCATTGATCGGGTTCAAAAATGACTTCCAGTCAATGAACTGACAAGTCAGTCGCACTGGATTCAACTCGGATGCACCCTAAACCGCCCCCCTTCCGCGCAAGGCTTGCTCTAATTGGCTGACATTCATGCACATTTCTCAAGCTAATGCCGGAGGCCAACTTCAAGGCTTTCTAAGCTAGCCTAACAGAAAGAGGCAGATGACAATAACTATGCGCGTTCGTGCTGCAGCGACCAATGGTTGGCGGAGCGTCCTTGTGGGACTTTATTTCCTTGCCTTCACGAAGCAGGCTGACAACACCATCAATAGCGACCTTACTAAGTATTGAAGGAGACTACGAGTGATCCCAAATCCCCAATATTGATTATGCTGGATGGTATATCAGTGCATGGCATCACTCCTGCAGTAAGCGAGGAGCAAACGGTACACAACAGCTTGTGAGGACAGATCTTACACGTGCTAACTGCGGTCCGCAGTAGGGAACGGGGACTTCATTGGAAAAACTACCGTATTGCGTACATTTAAATACGGATTCCCTTGGGTTTTGGGGCTTTGTTATCTTCACCAATACCTCACATATCAATTTTCCAAATCACTTGTGCATCATTGGACTAGTATGTATCACAAACCTATAATATCAGCTACTGCGGGAGGCCTTTCTCACGAGAGTGACCACTGATTTAACCCAGGGAACCGAAAAAATTGATACTAAATCATTTGTTCACCAACGGCATTGCTGCTCTGACCTAAGCTGCGGCCAAATCAGGCCGTGGATGTATGTACCTTCGCCCATCCTGAACCGGGGGCTCTACTGATCCCCATATGTGTGCAACAGGACTTGTGTTCGCCAAAATGCAGCGCGTGGAGATTGATGATGGCGAGACAGAGGACATGTTCTATTCTTTGAACACGGCATGGCAGTTGGAGGCTCTCTCTGAGGACGACCAACACTTGTACGAATTTGGTTCGGCATCTCATGGCGCACTCGGCCTCCCCAATGCTTTCCACAGGCCTGCCCAGACTAACAAAGCTCATCACCTCGCCTCCCTTGGCCATACATGTACTTCTGGAACCACATCTTCAGGGCTCTAGGCTCCCGAGGGTGGATTGTCGCCATGGGGAAACCCCCCATTTGATCAGCGGCTTTCGCAGGTTCCGGTGGGTTTAGGTATGACTGATGAAGAGGCAACGGCCCGGGCTGCTCAAATGGCATATGAGATCCAACATGTGTGCGAGCCTTGTGGAGAGGTATTCGAACAACCTGGGGATCTTACGTGAGTAATCCATATGGACCCCAACAGTCCAGGAAATGTAATAACTTAATTCAGGAGACACCGAGACAAACACCTGAGGCCTTATCAATGTCTTTTCCCCATGCCCAGGGCATTTCCAACACTGTGTCCAGAGAGATTCGCTGCCCCGAAAGATCTAGAACGACATAGAGACGCCTTGCACAAGAAAAGGGAAAATCCGAAGAAGCACACGTGCACCGACTGCGGTGAGGGATTTACAAGAGATGATAATCTCGTCCGCCACAAGATTGAGACTTGCAAATTACGGGAGGAAAGGAGATGATAAGTAAGAGAGAACTTTCTAGTTAGATATGAAGCATTTCAGATAGCCATGTCATTTTTGGCCGTTACCATCATCCTTGGTATAAGTCTGAGAGTGGCCAGCGAATGTGTTCTACCCCAGATAAGATATTGTTCGCGTAGATTGAAAGCGATACATTAGCAAAGAACGTACAAATGATCTATCACATCGTCTAAGAAGAAAAACAGTTAGAAGGACTAATTTACAGCACAGAATAACCGATGAATGACCAAAATCGACGCGCCCTGATGCTCAGCTGTAATAAATCTCGCTCACCAGCGGCCAAAGAATGTGCGGCTCCTTGAAGCCCTGATCTGATCCCTCGGAGATTAGCTGCTGAGCCACATTATGGGATGTGAGCGACTTGCCGTTGCAGGCGGTGGAAGGACGTGTATGCTGGGATGAACGTTTTGCGTGGCTATTATCCGAGTGCCGGCTTCCATCTGTGAAGGGCTAGACGGAATGATGGGTCGCGCGGAGTCCATTGCCCAACGGGCTCCTGATGTCACTGGTCTAGACATCTGCCAATCTTTCAACGCTGTACATATCTTCTGCAAAATTTTGGGGCT